ACAGTTAACAAAATGCCAAAACCGATTCATCAGAATATTTAAAAATCTTCATCCTCATTGTCACACAAGTGAATATTATCTCGAGATGAAAATACTCAACATCAAAAACTTGTTCATCTACCACGTTGCAACATTCATTTTTAGATTTCTACGTCAGCAATTGCCGGCATTTTTTAGAAACTTTTTCACTTTTGGAACTTCCATTCAAGCAAGAATTACACGCCACACGCCACTTTTCTATGCTCCACCAGCCAGAATTAAAGTACTTTGCATGAGTTTGAAACATACCGGCCCAGGAATATGGGAGACGATTCCACAAGAAATTAAAGATTGTAACACTTTGCATCTTTTTAAAAATAAACTGAAAAATTTTTTAATTACGAAAAGTTCTGTTTTTCAAGGATAATAATGTATATGTATATATATGTATATAAGTGTGTACATATTTCATTAACATTGATACATTTTCTCCTATTGACAATTTTATTTTATCATTGAGAAGCAATTTTGAGCTGCACGGTGGCCGAGCCCACAAGAATTAATTTTCTTTTTTTGGTCTCCGAATCATTCATGCTTTTGTTTTGTTTGATTGAATAAAAGTGATTTGATTTGATTTGATATCCACCATGACTTACTTAATATATATTTTTAAATTGCATATTATTCGTAATATGAATTAATTAATTAATTCTGTGCAAATGGACGAATTTTAAAAGGCATGTTAATAAACTGGATTCCATTTTAAAATATAATATTAATAATAATAACAACAATAATAACAATAATATAATAATAATACTTATAATAATAATATAATTATTATTATTATAAGTAATGCTGTCATAATTTGAAAAAGTCTATATAAGATCTAAAATATTTCTAAATTTTTCAAGTTTTTTTCAAACAAGACACAAGTGCTCTAACTATTATTTTGAAGATTTTATAATTGAATAATTAAATGCATAATAAATTGACTAATTAGTTACTTTCCCATCATTATCAACATCACCACCACCATCATCTTTTTCATCCTCGCCATCGTCAAATCATCTTCAAATGACTCCGAGGAGTAACTCTAATTGAGAAGATGCTTATAAATTATTATTAAAAAGAAAAGCAGGAAAGATAATTTTACTATATCATCATTTTTACTCTCTTCTCTCTCTCTCTCTCTCTCTCTCTCTCTATCTTGTATTCAGAAAGTAGAAAGTGAGATATCAATAAAATAGTGAGGGTTTCATTGGAAGCATGGCATTGTTGGGGAATTAATTCACGATTGAAAACATGAATACGCGCACAATTGTTTACATGCACATAAATACAAATAAATACGCCGATACTCCGTGAATAAATTTTCAGAAATACGTTGGCTGGCGCATCTTCAACAACATCAACATCAACAACAACAACGACATCATTAACAACAACAACGACAACATCAACAACAACAGCCAAGGACATATCATTCTTGTGTTCGTCATAATGCAATTGGGAGGCGCACGGTGTACGCTGTAAGAGAGATCAATCTAACATTCCCAAAAATCTCAAACACATCACTTCATATTTTTTTCCCTCTCTCTTTCTCTCTCTCTTTCTCTCTCTTTTTCTCTCTTTCTCCTTCTTTATTTTCCAAAGCTGTCATGTTTGAAAAATTATCTTCGGATTTATTTATGAGGAGCGAAAAGATATTTAAATATTTGAAAAAGTTGAAAAATGTTTATAATATATTAAATTATTTGTTTATTCATCATTAATTCATTTTTTCATTCATTAATTCACGCATTCATGCACTCACTCATTCATCTGTTCTTTCCTTCCATTTTTGTTTAAAAGGCTAACATTTAAATTTACACACAATGAAAACAAATAAAAAAATCTATAGTCAGTAAACAAATAAATAAAATTTAAAGTTGCAATCTTTATTTATTCATAGTCTTTGGTTGTTTCCGGTTGATTGCGTCATCAATTTGTAGCTCGGAAGAAGATGCTAATGAATGAGAAAAAACGCCATCTTGTTAATTTATCAATGAATATTAATGCTGGGTGCGGCTCTCTTTGTCTGCGTGTGTGTCTGTGTTTTTTTGTGTGTGTGTGTCTGTGTGTGTGTGTCTGTGTGTGCGTCTGTGTCTGTGTTTGTGTTTGTGTGCGTGTGTGCCGATGTTTGATGTATGTTTTCTTTCATATGAACTGGATAGAAACTACATACAACAACAACCTATCATGCAACAATCGAACATACAAAAAGAACAAATACAAACCAACAAAACAACAACAAACAAACATACATACATACAAACAAACATACAAATATAAAATACCAAAACAGAAACCAAATAAGCAGCAAACACGTTAGGACCGCACTATTGAATCTTCCACATAATTGCATAAGTGCTGAGTGTTGTTTCTCTAAGATGGGAAGGAGTCAGTTCTTTTGTATGTTTGTTTGTATGTCTGTACATTTGTTTGCTTGTATTCTTTTTTCCTTGTAGTTAGTTTATTTCCTGATTTTCTTACTACGTTATTATGGGAAACATTCGCAACATCAATTAATTGTTTATGCGGTTGGTTCATCTCAACAACATTTATCTCAACAAACACACAGCAACAGAACAACAACAATTATCTCAACAAAAACAACAACAACAACAACAAAGCAACAATCATTTCAAAATTTTTTGATAACAAAAAAACTCGAAGCGGAAACAAAAACAAGATAAAAAATACAAACAAAGATAAACACATAGATAAAAAAGAATGACAAAAACAAAGACATCACAAAACCAACAAAATGGGCAAATATTCTTTGACTATTTCTCAATGCCCATGCAATACTCGGACCAAAGATATATAATTATCCGAGGACCATAGATCTAATATTGGACTCCATAGAACAGAAAGTGCATCGCCTAAATCTTTTATCGCCCGCAAACGCTCGCAAGCCTCAGAGGTGGTCTGTTACTATAATTTTTTGTTTCTTGGGGTGGGGGCTGTTTCATGTGACGATGATGATGATTATGACGATGTTACAGCTGCTGCTTCTGCTGCTGCTTCTGTTGCTTCTGCTGCTGCTGCTTCAATCTTCTGCAGACACCAACACACTAACACTAAAACACATCAACAAATTATATCCGGAGTAACATTTAGACTTTTTTTCAACGTACCAAGCTATAGCTATCAACAAGCTCTTTCAAAAACAACAACAACACTATCTTTATCAATAACACCACCAACAACAACACTATCTTCATCAACAACAACAACAACAACAACAAGAGCGTCATTTCCATCCCAATCCACATTCAATGCAGCCACCAACACATCACGCAATAGCACACAAAAGATATCTCAATGGTTTTTTTCCTACAATGTTCTGGAAAATTATTTTCTAAACAGAAATAAATGTGGTTCATATAGCTTTCTCCATTATTTTAACTTTTAATATTACTATATCACTGATCATATTCATTAAATATTCTTCATTTTTAAATAATATTTTAGTTTATTTTTTCAGTTTTTCACAAAATCATTTTTAAAGCATCATGTTTCTGCTGCGAACGGTGCATTTGTCAAGCTGAATGATGGATATTTTGAATAATAAAATCAACAACAACTGCAACATTCACTACTACCACAACAACAACAACTACTACTACAACTACTTCTACAACTACTACTACTACTAAATCAACAACTGAACAGTTTCAATGAACAAAACTGATGTCAGCCAAGAACATCACAAAACGATACCAAACAATTACGAAAAAAATAAATTACCCAAAAAAACAACAAAGAACAAAAACCAAAAAACAAACAATAACCAAAGAACAAACAATAACCAAAGAACAGAAAAGACGTGAAAAAAATGAGTGACTTGTGAGCGGGAGAGTGTTATCAAATCCCTCGTGTTGACCAAGGAATCAATAAATAAATATACCTCCATTCCGATAAGGTGTCTCTTTGTCCACCCCTCTTTCTCTCTCTCTCTCTCCCTTTCTTTCTCTCTCTCTCTTTCTCTCTCTCTCTCTCTCTTTCTCTCTCTCATTTTCTCGATTCATATATTTAACTATCTTTGTTTTTTAATACTTTTTTCGTTTTTTCTTCTCCAATCCCAGGGGAGCAGTTATTTGCAGGATGAACGCAAATTTGATGTTGTTGTTGTTGTTGTTGTTGTTGTTGTTGACGATGACGCCATAGTGTTTAGTGAATTGTTGCTGATGACGATGTTGTAGGCGGTGATGATGATAATGATGCTTTACATAGACCTATAATTTTTTCATAATAAATAATTATTTAATTATTTTGTACACGATTTTTCCTATTTTCGTCCGCCAAAAATGTTTATACGAATGATTTTTTGTTGAAACGGGCCAGTGCTTCATCATTTATCGTCCATGATTGTTGTTGTTGATGATGATGTTGTTGTTGTTATTGTTGTTTTCGTTATTGTTTTTCTAACCATAATCGTTTCCTACCGAGTAGTAGTAGTGGTTGTTGTTGTTGTTGTTGTTGTTGTTTATGCTGTTGTTGCAGTCATTAAATTTACAACAACACAACAACAACAGCAACACGATAAATTTCTGTCTCAAGCTAAACCTTCCTAGCTATCTTTAAATATTCATACGAATGTCTCACAATGTTGTAGTGATCCAGCATAGCATTGGAATTCTTTTGTGAAATGTCCTTACGTAACTTGCTAGGAACACGGGTGAAATGAAGTGATGGAACCTGTTTAAAATCATTTTTTAGATTAACTAATTTTTCATTTATATCACTTAACCATGTTTCTAAAAGTGTAATAGTATCCAATGTTGATACAACAGTCTTCTAATAGCAACTGATAAAGATGTAGTTCATCCATCAAACTAGAACTTGCTTATATACCTCAGGCGTTTCTATATACAAATAACTTGAAAATGTCATCGAAATACAATAAAATACAAAAGGATGCAACAAGTATACAGAATCGTGTATCTCTTTGTATTTTCGTACAGCCTACCTTCATGTACGATCACGTTCCTAATCGTTCATCTCCTAATTTGGCATCACTCGCCCGTCTCTCCCCCACTAATTTCCTTAATATTGCACCGTCACACGTGTGTCTAATGGTCGTATGTTTGAAATAATTCGCTATCATCGCCATCACCATCATCGTCATCGTCATCATCATCATTACCATCATCATCGTAACAGCCACTTCCGGCAAACTGACGATAACCGGTCCAGAGAAGAGAGAGCACGTGACCTCCCAAGCTGACAGCGTCACCTTCAAATGCCCTTTCCATTCTGACACCTTCAACTTGTTCGATTATCCGTTCAGATGGAAAAAACATCAGCTGGATGAAGTAAGGAGGGAATGAATGAATGAATGATTGAATGAATGATTGATTGAACGAATGAACGAACCAGCAAACGAACGAATGAACAAGTGCTGAAATAATTTTTAGCACTATTGCTACTTCTACTACTAATACTTCCAATACTAAAAAGATGTAATAATAATAATGCCAGACGACCGAGATGAACACGATGGGCAACTTGGTAGAACCATTCCTCAATGGAAGGTTCCATCTTAGTTACTCAAACAACAGTCTGCATTACATTCTCGAACTCTCGATCATCAGTTGGTAGTGATGATGACGATGATGATGATGATGACGATGATGGTGGTCTTATTGGTTTTAAAACCAGAGCATGAAATTGAGCCAAAGAAATAAATCACTAAGAGATTGTAAGGAGCGCCATTTTCAACTTGCAAATACTCACACGTACAAACATATACACACGCACATACACACACATACACACACGCACACACACATACAGACAAAAACACACGTACAGAAGTTGACTCTTAAGAACGTCAAACGAATTCACCGAAAACATCATCATCAGGAACAACAATAATATGAGAAATTCATCTGCCAACGTTTATAGCAGGCACTTTATCAAATAACGACAACAAAAACACACACACACGCCACGCACACACGCACACACACATACGCGCACACACATACGTACACACACACTTACGTACGTATATACATAGAACGGTTGGTGTAGAATATTTGAGCACAAAACTGTGGAGCACGATGATGTTCACTGAACCGCAACGATAGCACTTCCATGCTTGGCGGTCATCATCATCATCATCTTCATCATCGTCATCTTCTTTATCTTCATCATTATCATCATCATCATCAATGACATCATCATCACTACCTCACCCTTGAAAACTTTAAAGAAAGCGTCTGATGGATAAGTTTGTTGATTGATTTATCGCTCCATTAATACTCCAGACCTTACACCCCATGAATGAGTGATGGAACGAATAGCGAATGAAGGAATGAATGAAGGAGCAAATGAATGAATGATTAAAAATGATTGAATAAATAAATATACGAACGAATGAATGAAACAATAAATTGAAGAAAATTAACAAAAGCAAGCAGTAATAAACGATTGGGCGAAAGGATGACAAACAAATGGATGGATTGATAAATAAAAAATTTAAAAAATGAATAAAAATTTAGGATTGATGGATGGGAAGACAAAAAATTACTGAAAAAAGGATATTTGTTCGAGAATTGACGTGACGAATGGATGAATGAATGCATGGACACAAATGTGCAATTATTTAATAAAGTTCTGGAAAATGTGAAATAATGTATGGATGGAAGAATGAGTAGAAGAAAGGATGAATAAATAATGGATGGATAGATAGATGGATTGATGGATGGAGGAATGAATGATGGATGGATTGGTTGATGGTTCGATCTCATTTGAACTAACAACGCCGAGAAAAAACATTTGAGGGGAGAGATTTTAATAGTGGAAAGGTGCTAAATCGATGAGTGAACGTATGAATGAATGAATGAATGATTGAGGGAGTGAATGAATTAAATTTAATTTAATTAATTATAATTAATTTTAATAATTTAACTCGTCTAGCAAGTTGAATTACGAGGTGGGAAAACAAGCGGAACATCAGTCGTTCAAGTTGATAAACGAAGAGTTTAAAAAACCCAAAAACTAATGGATAAACAAATAAATGAATGAATGAACAAATGAATGAATGAATGAATGAATGAGTGAAGGAATGAATGATAGGTGGGATGATTGATTGAACGATTCTATGAATAAGTGCTCCACGCTTGAGTGATTTTTAATGATAGACTGAAGGTAACAACACGTATCACTGGATGACAGAAAACTATCAATCAATCTCTTGTAGGGAGGCAAATAGCAAAACAAATATATTGTGTTGGAGAAAAATTTATTAACGTCGCAACCATTACCACCACTGCTGCAGCTACTACTGCCACTACTGCTGCTACTGCAGCTATCTCTACTACTGCTACTACTTCTTCTACCGTACTGATGATCGTTATTGTCATTAATATATTAATGCAAAAACCATTTGCACTCTTTTTCAATGGCTTGTTTACTTTTAAAATTATTATCATCTTTACGTCATCATCATCATCCTCATTAACATAACCACGCCCCACATATTATAATGAACTCTAATAAATCCGCCAGTCAAATCACGATTGAATGAAATTGATTAAAAATTTTCAGACATCTCGATGGAGGACGAGGCAAATTACACGTGCGAAATCAGAGGGCCGACCTCCAAGGTCGAAGGTCAGGTCGTCCACCACCTCTACGTCAGAGGCTAGTGGGGTCAGGGGTCATTCACACGTTTGTGCTGGGTCGGCAGTTTTTTTTTGGGGCTAGAATTCTTGGAAATTTTCAAATAATAAAGGCTAATAGAGAAGCACACTTGCTTGAATCATCCTTAGCATTCCGACAGGCAGTTATAGAAGAAAATTTACAATCAACTTCGCGGATTGGTGTCTTTTTTACTGGAATTTTTTAATTTGCTAATGTTATTGTTGTTTGTTTGTTTGTTTGTCTGTCTGTCTGTCTGTTTGTCTGTCTGTTTGTATGTCTGACATGCATACAGCACATAAGGTATAGGGCAGTTTACATTTTGTATTCAAGTGGAAGTTTATATTTATTTATTTATTTATTTATTCATGTACTTATTTATTTATTGCCGGACAGTTTATGTGGGGATGAGGTTATTGTTATTTAAAGTGTTGTTTACGTCACGTGACACAAAATGGCGGACGTCGATTGGTCGGCTGGGTTTGTCTATGTGTGTTTGTGTGTGTTTGTTTGTGTGTTTGTCTATGTGTGTTTGTTTGTGTGTGTGTTTGTATGTGTTTGTGTGTGTTTGTGTTTTATCGTTTTGCCGTAGTGCTATAATGGCTTGATTTCAAATTGTTTAATTTACGTGGCTAATTTCATTCGGCTTGCATGTGTTTGAAATATTAACTGGTGTGTTGGGAGCGGTGGACGGGAGAGAGAAGAATGGAGGAATGGAGGAATGAAGGAATGAAGGAATGGAGGAATGAAGGAATGAAAAGAGAGAGGGTAATAACGAGTATAATAGAAAGAGAATGGAAATAAATAAAGAGATAATAAGGATAAGCGAGGAAAAAAATTAAGAGACACTGACAAAAAAGAAGCCACTAAATTAGAAAAATTAAAAAGTGAGAAATAGAGAAAGAAAGTTAGAAATAGAGAGAGAGAAAGAGAGAGAGTGAGGGAGAGAGAGAGAGAATGAAATGAGGACGAAGAAAAAGTTAGAGCAAACCAGACAAACTTTTCTATTAGCAGTAAATTTAATGTAGGTATTACAGTGCTGAGTGTTGTAGGATTGGATGCTAGGCTGTTTGTGTGGCTGGCTGGTTTGTCGGTATGTCGGTCGGTTCGGTGGGTCTGTCGGTCGGTACGATAGGTCGGTCGGTATGTTGTTCGTGTTATCAGCTTTGTTGTCTATCTGAAAATTATGTTATCATTGTTGTTTTATTATTTCTTATTTACGTAATAGCAAAGACATACGTAGACAAATAAATACGGATTAATAAATAAAAATGTTTAACGTCTAAGCATTTTGTTGATGCAAACATATAGATAGGCATATGTTTCTTTATATTAAGTTAAATTAACCACTAAACAATAAAAATAATAATATAAATAATAATAATTGTTATTATTATTATTTTATAATTGTTCATTCCCGCCCCACCATCATCAACAAACACAGGCGCACATTCTTAATCGTTTATCATCGGCATCTCGTTTTACGAGTTTTAGTGCAGCGATCATCATCACCATCGTATGACGTCATCGAACGTCATTCTGTATTATCATTCATCATCGTGAATTATCGTGCGCCATCATCCTTCTCATCTTCTTCTTCCTCATCCTCCTCATCATCATCATCTTCATCATCATCGTTGTAATGCAGATTTGTTTTTAGGGTGTTATTATTCAATCCTAACCCACACTCTAACCATCGTCATCATCTTCATCGTCGTCTTCATCATCATCATCTTCATCATCATCATCTTCATCATCATCATCTTCATCATCTTCTCCCTCATCGTCGTCGTCATCGTCACCGTCAGAAGGGGCAACCATGCATTATTAGCGTCATCGTCATCGTCATTATGGCAATCACTATCATTATTTTAATGGAGGGAGTCGAAAAATTGAAATATGGAACAAAATAATCGGGAGAGAGAGAGGGCAAGGAAGAGAAAGAAGGTAAGGAAGAAAGAGAAAGAAAGAAAGAGAGAGAAAGAGAGAGAGAGAAAGGAAAAAAGAGAAAAGAGAGAGAAAAAAAGAAATTATATAGAAATATAAAACAAACAGCAACCGCCACAAACTATGTGCGAATTAAAAAAGGTTTCACATCGGGAAATTTTGAAAAAAATTCGAAATATGAGAAGGGAAAAGAGAAAATGAGCAAAAAGTAGAAAAGAGAGAAAGGAAGAGAGAGAGAGAGAAAGAAAGAAAGAGAGAGAAAGAGAGAAAACGAAATAAAAAAATGTAAATAAAAGGACAATAATAACAACGTCCAACAAATCACACGTGAATGAAAACAGGGTTCAGATGAGAACATTTTGGGGAAAAAATTGGAAATTGAGAAAGAAAGGGAGAAATAGAAAAAATGACAAAAAACAAATAATGAAAACATAGAGAGAGAGAGAGAGAGAGAGAGGGAGAGAGAGAGAATAATAGATTGTGGACTGGCTTGGGACCAATTAAAGATTTTGAGAAGATACTAACAATCAGATAGATTACATTGTGCTGATGATGACGACGACGACGATGATGATGATGGTGATGATGATGATGATGCTCACACTTGCGATCATGATCAGGACGATTTATTTTTATACAATGAAAAGCTTCATAGTGCAAAAAAAAATGTTGTACCCTCTCGATATAAATATTATCATATTTATTATCGTAATAATTGTAACAAAACTATATTAATAATAATAATGATGATGATGATGATCAACAACAACAATAATAATAACGACACTGCAGACAACATAGACAAGCTGATCCTCCGAGATAACAATCACCAGATGGAAGTTACCTCAAGGCCCCCTCAACTGAATCATAGACCCCCCCACTCCACCCCGCGGCTCACCCTCATCGAAAATACCCCCATTTTAGTCACGTGCATCAGTGTGGGTGGCAGTCCGACACCGACTATCGATATCTTCTTGAAGCGTCGGAACATCAGCGGGAATGCTGTCTTGAGGTCTGTGGTGAGTCAGTTGCGAGGCGATACAAAAAGTTATCGTCGAATTTTGCGTGAGGTTCATCAGCCCAGCTCCGTGGGCGAGAAAGTGATGGCCGAAGATGACGGTAGCTCGGTGACCTGTGAAGGGTCGGTGACCGGTTTTAAGCCGATTCGCGTTGACGCATTTTTGGAAGTTAGATGTGAGTCGTTTGCTTTCTTCGTTAGTAATGACTCTTTAGAGTTTTTAATTTTTTCCAACCCCAACAACACAAATTTTCATACCAATCTCTCTTGTTTTCCAACAAATTGTGACGTCAGATGCTCCGAAGATAGAGTGTCAATCGACAGAGAGGAGGCTCGGCGACGTGAACGTGTACATCGGCTGCCTGGTGAAGGCCAAACCCCACCCCTACGAAATGTTCTGGATCGTTGATGACGTCGGCAGGAAGGTTCTCGTGAATGATGACGCTACTGACGCGGCTGCTGCTGCTGCTAATATGTGGAGTGCGGCCAACACGGTAGGAGAGGACAATGACGATGATTATATTATAAGAAGGATGATGATGACGACGACGACGATGATGCGGCTGCAAAAATGTTTGCCCACCTTGTCAAAAGGACTATTAAGTTTGACACGTGGAAATTTGATGATTGTGATGGTGAAGATGATGACGATGATGAAGAAGATGCTGATGAAGGAGATGCTGATGATGATGACGATGATGCTGACGATGATCGTGACGAAAATTTTTGATGTCAATCGATAAATCAATCCTTCATTTTCAATCCTTTCTCTTCGTTTTTTCTTTCCTTCATTAGTATTTTATCATCTGTTTTTTTCAATTTTTTTTCCTGCTCGCATTTATCTCTTTCTCTCTCTCTCTCTCTCTCTCTCTCTCTCTCTCTCTCTCTCTCTCTCTCTCTCTCTCTTAGTTGTAAATTTTTTTAATTTTTGAACAAAAGTTCAGACAACGCAAATTGTTGAAGCAAAGATTTTAATATTTATCCTTTCATTCGTTCATTCGTTTGTTCACTCATTTATTTATATATTCATTCATTCATTCTTTCATTCATTCATTCATTCGTTCAAGAGAAAATCTTATATGTACCTTGTCAATCAAACTCGAACTTATATGTCAATCAACCTACCTACCTACCTACCTACATACATACATACTTGCATACATTCCAACAAACACACACACACATACAAACAGACAATTCATCCATTTAATCTTTCTAGAAAATAAAAATGCCTTCTATAATATTGTGTTATCTTCACAATTTTTCTTACAAACATTTTACGCCAACCGAACGAACGAACGAATGAACGAACGAACGAACGAACGAACGAGGGACAGTTAGTAACATAGCAAACGTCAGCCATAACACGGCCTACCCCCTCGCAAAATGTTTCAAACGGCGCACATTCCACCAGAGTAGTTAATACCGAACATGTATATTGCCGGTATTGTACCGGCAATATACATGTTCGGTACTGGCTTCGGTACCGGCCATACTTCTGACACCGACTATCGATACTTTTTATACCGATAAAAATCGATACTGGACAGCAATTTGTTCGAATGCCAAGTGGATATATTTTTATTAATAACCCTTCAAATTCTCAAAGTTGAGCGCGTTTTTTAATTATTAAATTCAGAATTCAAAATTAAGTTCCACCATCATTTGCACGTTTGTCCTTAAAAACTTCTCCAGTCTGTCGATGAAATATTAGCTGCTGCCATGTAACAGAGTTGACAATCACCGAAGTATCGGTTTTGTCGTCAATACTTTTAGAATGGTTAATAACTCTGCCCCCATCCCATTCAAAAGCTGCTCAAGTTCATTATTTTCATTTGTACGATTTAGCCAATTGACAAACCAAACAACTCAAAATACAAACAACTCAAAATACAAACAACTCAAAATACAAACAACTCAAAATACAAACAACTCAAAATACAAACAACTCAAAATACAAACAGCTCAAAATACAAACAACTCAAAATACAAACAACTCAAAATACAAACAACTCAAAATACAAACAACTCAAAATATACAGCTGCAATACAACAAACATTGCAAACAACATCCACCACATACAAGCACCTCATACGAATGCCGTACAAACAAATAGCGTTATACCACAACAGTTAAACGGACCATCGACTAGCGTGCAGTTGTATTTTCATCACGTGACCGCTAGCGACTTCCGGCACTACAGATTGGTGGTAGCCAATGAAGTGTCCACTTCTGTGGCAGAAGTATTTTTAAAAGAAAGTTGGTTTTGATGATGATTACGATGATGATAATGATGGTGGTAATGATGAAGATGGTGGGGACAATATTACTTGGGCGGCACTTTGTATTTATTCCCACCTTCTTTGTAATATTTCAAGAATATTAAATTGCATACATCAATAGGCGTTTGTTTGTATGTGTGTCTCTATAAGTCTATGCATGTGTTTGTGTGTGTCTCTGTCAGTCTATGTATATGTTTGTCTGTATGTGTGTATGTATGCGCGCATGTATGCGTGTTGGTGTTCTAATCACATATATCCTATATATCTTGTGTACCTGACTGTATGTTTTTGTTCTTGTTTAGTTTGTTTTTTTTCAATTAGTTTGTATAAAACTCATATTTGTGAATGTCTGTACGCTTGTCTGTTTTTTGTCTGTCTGTTTGTCCGTCTGTCTGTCTGTCTGTCTGTTTGTCTGTCTGTTTGTCTTTATCTCTGTCTGTTTGTCTTTATCGTTTTTACATTAGCGAAAGGAGATATTTATTTATGTGATAGTTTCCTTGCAGGTCTTTTTAATTTGGACTTTGCAAGTTGTTTACAGTGGGACCCTGTTTGGTGGGCATGAAATCTTCTTTTGAAATGTTGATGATGTTTTGTGGTAGTTGTGATTGTTGCAGTTTAACATGTTAGACAAACAGTATCCTGGTGGCTGTCCCGTGCTCCTATGTAGGCACAGAGCTTGCTAGGAAATGTTATTTTATTTATTTTTTTTTTTTACCGCAATGAAAATTTATTGCTTTGAACGTGCGGAATTGAGGAAGAAGAAATGAAAGAATTAAAAAAAAGAGGAGAGATAACAAAAAAGAAAAAGAGAGGGAAGAATACAGCAAGAAAACAAATTGTCATTTGAAAAACATTGTTTTTTAGGCCAGGAAGAAATTTATTGTTGTTAATTCCTTCTTGAAATATTTACAACTATTTTTGTGAACCTCGGCGCAGGCCTGACTCACGCTACAACACCTCGAAGAATTCAAAAACACATCAAAATGCATTTGCTCGAGCGCTGAAACCGCTGCAAGAATTTTTTTCATTGTTTACAATGGCGCGAATTGCACGAAGCCACTTAAACTCGATAGTGGTCTTCCATTCTTTGTACAAAAAACGAAAACTTGATATTTATTTACATGGAATGATTACTGCCCGCCTTGATACTTATTCGAAGAGTTTGTTAGACAGGCACATTTAAGAATGAAGAGTAGAGGTCAAAGTTCAACAAATCGTTGGCCCGACCTGTGTTGATCTTATTATGTTGACCTGCGGTGACCTGCACTGGCCTTGTTTTGTTGACCAATGAAGTTGGAGACGATTTGACTGCAGCATCCTCTTAACGCCGTCACCACTTTGTTCTTCTTCAAATCATTTCAATTTCCATTAAGAGATCACACGGCATAGTTTTAAATGCATTTCTATGATTCAATTTGTTATAATAAATAATTAATTAATTACAAATTATAATTATAGTTATTTTATTATTAGTAGTAGTAGTAGTAGCAGTAGAATTATTGTTATTATAAGTTCTAGAAATAATTTCCCATCTCCATTGAAGAACAAATTCGATCAACTCGTCTGCCATTGGTCAACGGAAGTCACCTGATCAGCAGGAACCGACCAATGACGAGCTACCATCACGAAGGAGGAAGTGGGGGTCAGAGGACCATGAAGTTCCGAGCCCGAAGTGGAGGGAGCAGTGGACAGTCCCTCTTCAAACCACCCCCCAACCACCTCTTCCTTATTCTCGCCATTTTTGTTTATACTGTTTTTGTTGTTCATAATGATGGTTGTATGCAAGATGACGACGACGATGATGATGGTGGTGGTGGTGATAATGATTCTAAGAATCATGATGATGATGACGATGAGGACGATGACGATGATGAGGATGGCTTTGATAACCGCAATAACAGCTCCCTCGTTATTGTAAGCGGTGCCAAAGATTTGTGGAATGGCGATGGTGATATTACTGATAATGATGGCGATAATAATACAAAAAACAACAACAATAATAATAATAATAAAAACAATAATGTTTATAGAGCTGAGTTGATTAGTTGCTTGCCTTCATGCGTTCACTGCTTAATGAGATGACGTGCCAGAACATAATTTTTTATACCATTATTATTCACATTAATTTATAATTTATCATAATCAACTATAATAATTTTTATATTAATAATAATTTTAATAATTATAGATTTATAGTCTTAATTGAACATAATGATTGAAATATGGAATGACGATGGGTGAAAAGTTCATAGCCTACTGCATGTGTATATATATATATATATATCTTTAATTAATCATAATAATAATGTTCGTAATAAAAATAAAAACAATTATAACAACGATAATAATTATTATTGTTATTATTTTTGGTTCTTTATTCACATTTGTTTCTTGCCTTTTGTTTCAGAACGAATTTTTTGTTGCCCAGCGTAAAATTTAAATGTAACAGTTATTAATTTTAACATTAGTTGTAGCATTATGATGTATGTATGTATGTATTTATACATCCTTGCAGCTTACATATGTAACAATACATTGCAATTAAACTACACTGAACAAACATTACATTACATTAACATTAGGTGAAATTAATTTCATCAGAGGCGATAATATTATACAATATAACAATATTATGTAATGATATTCTATTTCATTGATTAAATTTCTATTTATTTTAAAACAAAATTGCTGTTCTTAAATATTGACTTGATGTGTTGGTTAGTATCAAATTTTGGACAAATCAATCAACAAACCAATCATTTAAATAACAGTTCAATCATCAACCCATCCATCAAGCCGGTCACTATCTTATGCTGCGGTGACCCAGCTCGAACGCATTATGCCCTCTTCGGTAGATTCAAGTCATTATTTATAAACAAATTCGGATCAGCTTAACTCTATGTATCGGCGTCACACTCCAAAAAGAATCGAGCTATAGAGTATTTAATGATAACTATTAGATCGATTCAAGATAATTCCAAGACTATAACAGCACCACGTTCCCAAAAATTATTGAATTCTAGTGCGTAGTTCATAAGGAAAACTATTTGTGTCTGAAGACTAAATGTGGTATTCTTTCCTCTCTAAAAACTGAGTTTTACTGACTTTTAATAACAACACTGCTCACAAGCACAACGGGTTGGGTCATGACCTTCCCCGGGGTCTCTGAATCCGCCATTCTGTGTATGTTTCATGAACATCTTTATAACTTAGAGAGTCATTAGAATGCAACCACCAACAACAACTCGTTTCTCATGACTACCTTTGGAATCTAAATAAATTTACATGTCGAAAGATGGCGGTAGTAGCCGTAGTCAGCCGATCCGCCGAGCAAGCCATATTTTATAATTAAAGTCAAAGTTTACTTTTCAACATTATTATTTGAAAAAGTTCCGAAAAAGTTACTGAGCAATTGAACCGTTAAACCGTGAATGAAACACTTTTTTACTTGAATTTTATAATTAAAAATCATTTATTTTGTGTGGAAAACTTTCACAACTTTCCGAAAAATGTCCTATTCACAATTTTGGAAGGCAAAGTTGAGACCCCGCAGTCCCACTGATTTGTTCTTTTCCGACGGAGATATCGTTTGCCATTCCAGTAAAAATAAATTTACGTGCGTGTACTCTGAAGATGGCGATAGTGATGAAGATTTCTTGGTTGACAGAAATGTCAACAAGTAACTTTTAATTTAATTAAGATTAATTTAGTTAGAATTAAATGTTAGTTTAGTTTAGTTAGTATTTTGTACATTTTATTTATATTTTAAGATTTAGTTTTAGTTAGAGGCTTAATTTTAAAAACGTAGATTTATATTTTTAAATGTTATTAAATTTTAAAAAAAGAAAATTCGTAAACACAGAAAATCCATTGAATGTAAGGAAGCTAGCTGCCAACAAGTCTTCAACAGTCTGTTTGTGTAAGTGGTAGTATGGCTAAATATTGATTATTAAATCTCTTCTTTGTTCATTTAGGACATTTTTTATCTTTTAAAATATTGTTGTATTTAAAGTTTCAATATAATATTCTAGTTCATCATTAAGACTAATTTTGTTCAATTAGATTAGTTAGGTATTTCAATAAACTCATCCATAATACCGCTTGGTCACATTTTTAATTAAAACAATCCCCAATGCAGATATGAACTGCACTACGACACGATGCACAGAAATGTTTGTTGCCATTGTTCAGTTCGACTGCCAACTAGTCACCTACTCGACATCCACATCAGAGAACTTCATGCCACTTCTTACGATCGAGCCCTGCTCATCAGTCATGATGATAGTCGTGGGGGTGGGGGTGGTGTTCAGGATCATCATCATCAAAACCAACGACATCATCTTCCATATTCCTGCCTGTTACAAGATTGTTGTGGAGAATTCAGTACAGCAGCCTTGAGGAAGGAGCACATGATTGACGCACACCAGTACCCACCCAACTTCAGGTACTTTCAATACTTGGGGAGAGATGATGAGAAGAAGAGGAGGAAGGGTGATGGTGGAAGTAGAGATGCTAAGAATAATGGTGAGGGTCATTTGAAAGCAGAAAGCCAGCTTAGAAAGAACAACAACAGCAACATAATAGAACATCAGAAACATGAGGATGAAAATGTCAACGACATCAATCACAGCAATAGTAACATTAATCGTATCAATATTAATAATAATAATAACAATGATGATGATGGTAGGATGGACACCACAGAAGATGGTGGTGTTGTCTCAACCCCATCTGCCGATGTTGGTTCTATGTCTGATAATTTAAACAACGACGCCAGCCATAATAATGAACGTAATAATAAGAGAAATAACAAAACAAAGAGGTTACTTTTTGTTTCGTATATCACCAAATAATTCTCTAAAACCATTTAATTTCTTTCTTTTTTTTATTCCATAGAGTTCCGAGAAATATCTGCTTCGGGTCCTACTCGCAAAAAACTTTCAGGAGATGATTTTAACTATTTGTGATGTCATTTTATTTGAATTTATTTATTGAATTAATTAAATTTTCATTTTCGCTCGCCTATACAATTTATTTGGTTGAATTTATTCAATTAGTAACGACGTTCGTAGCTTTTTAAATTGAAGGCCTAACAAGATTCACAAGACAATCCTCTGTTGTAATCGTACGATCAGTAATCTTTCATATGTTGGTCATTTATTTTAAATATATCATACATTTATATATATATTATTATTATTACGGAAATTTATATACAGCGCTTTTTTATTGTTGAATCTCAAAAGCGCTACAATATATATATATGTATGTGTACGTATGATGTAAATATAAGGTATATATTTTCAAGAATCATTTTAATAAACGCTCAAAATTTGCTCTTGCAAAGATAATGGTAGGTATGGAATCCAACAACAACTTAGAGAACCAGAGCAGAGGCAATAACGAGAATAATAATAAGCAACAACCAAAACGATGTATGAGCAGTTGCACAACAACAACCACAACAAAGAACATCGGCTGATATCACGACATCAAGTAAATTTGCTTGACACTTCCAACCTCTATGTCTGCTAAACAAATGTTTCAAATACATCACAACAAAACAAACACCAAGAATCACGTGATGACAAACGAACGAACAACAATACAAACAACAACAAACAAACAACAACAACAAGACAAACAGACACTGGCAACAAGACAAACAAACAGGCAGCGATCATCAGCTGAACAAAAACTTCACATCACGGCAACGTGTAATTACCCGAACACAAGAAGGTACTAATATTATAATTAAATCTACGTTCGTCTTAGTTGTAGTAGTGGCGATGATAGTAGTATTAGTAGCAGCTGGAGTAGTAGTAGTAGTAGTATTTCGGTTAATAGCCAGTTGGCTCTTATAAACGAAATTTGTGATGATGACAATATATAGTATGATGATAATCGTAATTATGATGACGGTGATGATGACGATGAGGATGGTGGTGATGATGATGATCGCAGCAAACAACAACATCACGAACAGCAATTAAAACGACAAAATTGTTGAACCTCAGAAGCCCGCATCTAAGAAAACATTCCATTTCATTTGTTATTATATATTACTCCTACTACTACTTCTACTTTTACTACTACCACTACATCTTTTATTACTGCTGCTGATGATGATGTTTTTGCCGCTACTACTACTACTACTACTGCTACTACTTTTGTTACAACTGCTATTGCTAAGCATTAACATCTATGCTCATCTCATATGTAAGTTTTCCAAAAAGATTTTAAAGGCTCCAAACGCGACAAAAAGCCTTCTCATATCCAGCACACCCATTCCACAGACTAGCACATCACACGACACACACTCAAAATCGACCGGCACATTTCACACAAACACATTCAAACTCGACACGCAAATTTCACGCACACACACCAAAAACACGCACACATACACGTGAACATACACACACAACATCAACGTAGCAAGTGACAAGATCGTCTAGAAGACAATAAGAAAATTTGTAGAATGGCGCCATGTTCGATGTATTTGACAATTTTCTGATGATTTAAAGGAGATGATCTTGACACGGCTTGTATGTGCTGTGCATCGATCTTTGTATGTATCGGTATTCGTGTTATACGGTATTTGTGTAATCGCTGTTGGTAAACGTTTCTATCTCATTGTATTTTCGTTTTGCATGTGCTTGCTCGGTTGTACAAGCAAAAATTTAGAAAAATACATACGAATACAAAGGCACACAGACACACAGACAGACATACACAGAATAATAGGATTTAATTTATAATAATTTCATCTATTCATACCGCCTGATGAATCATGGTAACGTTACGAACGACATTCTCACGAAGCTATTTCGAATGCGTCATTAAGTTATTGGATATATCATAGCTTCAAAGTTTGAGAGAGAGAGAAAACAGACAGACAGAGTGAAAGAGGGAGAGAGAGAGAGTGTGTGTAGATGAGTATTGATATAGATGTGATAGAAACGTCTGCTGAGGTGTTACATAAAAGACATTCGTAGACGCAAATGTGAACTGGTTAATCGCTCGTCGTCTTGGAAGATGCTGATGATTTTTCTTTAATGACCTTGTTGGTGGTCATGATGATGATAATGATGATGGTGGCAGTCATGATGGTGATAGTGATGAACAAGCAAATAAGAAACAGATGAACAGCATGGAAGAACATGAATAACTATTTAGAACAATTAACAAGCAGTAATAAACAAACTGCCTGGATTTCAAACTTAACAAATTATATCATTATTATTAATATATTGCAACATGGATACATAGCAACATAGATATAAAATAGCAAAGAAACATAACAACATAGATATAAAATAACAAAGATATGGACAGTGAGGAGCCAACACCCGCTGGTTTCAGGCGACGTTGATCGACTGAGCGAATCAAATGAATGAATGAATGAAAACAAATAAGTAAATAAACGTTCAATTATACCCAATTGTACAACATGTAACGTATATAAGCGCTATATAAATATGTATATGCGCTATATAAGTATTTATATATGTGTATATATGTGTGCTATATTAGTATGTTTATATATAAGTATACAACATGTATATAGTTTTGTAAGTATCAGTGAGTAATGTGATTGAACATGACAAGATTTTACCGTTTATTTCATAACGAATTAGTGAATGAATGAATGATGGATTGATAAATGAATGAATGAATTGATGGATGAATGAATGAATTGATGGATGAATGAATGAATTGATGGATGAATGAATGAATTGATGGATGAATGAATGAATTGATGGATGAATGAATGAATTGATGGATGAATGAATGAATGATTTCTAAACTTTTTATTTGAAATCCACGAATGTATATAGGAATTGAAAAATGCATTGAATGAATGAATGAAAACAATCTTGAATAAACTGATTTTAAGAAGTGGATGAATGAATGAGTGAATGAATGAATGAAGAAGCAAACAAATGAATGAATGAATGATTTGATGGATTGATCGAGAATGAAAAAGCGGTATAAAGAGAAATAATATAAAAAGTTCATTAACAAATCAAATCACTTCACATCGGATTATCTCTAATTATGGGTTTAAATTTGTTGTTGTTGTTGTTGTAGTTGTTGATGTTGTTGTTGATGTTGTTGTTTGGATTGCTGTGATTGTTTCCTACTGCGTCGTTCTTACGTTCGCCCTGGCATAAAAGTTTATATAACATAATTAATCTTTGATCTTAATAAGAAATTATTTGGAAAAATGCTTAACCCGTTCAACTGCTGACATTTGTTCTGTCCTTTTTCGACCAATCAGAGATGAACAGGGGCGTGGCTTATGTTTAAAGCTCTCAAGCTATTGGAGGTGAACGAAATTATTTATTTCCTATTTTATAAGAAACTTGTAAACAAATTGTTAAAAAAATTGTCAAAATTATTAAATAAGAGCAAATTTGTGTTCAAAAGCTTTGTGAAAATGAGCTGAAATTGTTTTTTAAACTTGGATACTTATTAATGTTATTGTTGTTGATGTTGATGATGATGATGATGCTGTTGTTGTTGGTTGATGTTGTTGTTGTTGATGATGATGCTGTTGTTGTTGTTGATGATGAAGTTGTTGTTGTTGATGATGAAGTTGTTGTTGTCGTTGATGTTGTTGAAAGCATTAAGAAAGCACTAGATAGAGATTTGCACTGATGTAACCAACATGTAACTCTATACGCCATCAACTTTTATTACTATTGTTTCATTTCTTAAAACTAATAACAACAACAACAATAATAATATCATTTATAGTGTTGTTGTTGTTCTTGTTGTTGTTCTTAAGATGTCATAATGGAGGAGCGAATAATTTTTGTTCTTTAAATGAAATTTCATTCAATACTTCTCAACTTATCGATCATTTAATGCTTATTCTGTTGACGACGACGATGATGATGATGATGCTGATAATGATGACGAGGATGATGATGATGACACGCACACACAAACACTCACATACACACACAGACATATCAATATACACACATATTTATTTGAAAGTGTTACTTTACACATAATTTCTGTGAGACACATTTGAGACATTTTTGCATTATGTGTTTATACAACTTTTTAGATATGTATAATATATATATACATAAATATATATATATATTATACATAAATATATATATATATATATGTATATATATAGTATATATATATATATGTATTAGACAATCAATATATAGTTATTATTTGTAGTTATGTATGTATACATATGTATGTATGTATAGATATATGTCCATATATATATATATATATATATATATATATATATATAGCAATATAAATATATATGTATATATATATATATCGAAGCAAATTGTAGCATAAAGCAAGTATCAACTATTATATGCGAAGATTTGCTTGTTTTTAATGGCCGAATTGATGTAGATAGATTTTTGGAATTTTTATAGAAATAATAATAAAAATAAATATTATTGTTGTTTCTATGGTTTATTATTTTTTGAGTTTATTATAGATAAAATTAATTATGGATGGATCTTTTTGTATAGGCGCCTTTAAGGAAAGTTCCCGATGATCCATTAACAAGTGTGTGTACATTTCTTGCGTTTTTTAATTTGCTAAAACTAATCACGCCCGGTTAAGTTACTACGTAAATTATTATCTTATCAAATAATTAAGATGATAATAAATTTATTTTTGCATGCATAAAATCAAGAAATATAAAAACTGCTCTGAACAGTTGATTGTTCCAATCTTGCCATCCCTTTAGAGAACATACAACGGTGTGAAGTTATGAGCAGCAATACTAATCATTAATGATAAATATAATTATTAATATATAATCAAATATCAATAATCATTAATAATATATAATAATTAATAACTTTACAGATTGATAGTACGGCCAGCCATAGCCTCAAACTTCAAGTTGTCACTTGGATTGTATCCTTCGGCCAACAAACTGGTACAACGTAGTAAGAAGCCGCTTTGAAATACTTAGCCCTACTGCTGCAGTAGTTAATATATTGAAGTGATTAGTAATAATTACATTACTTCTCGTGTAAGAGATTACTAATCTAACTCTGTTGTTGTTGTAGTTGTCGTTGACGATGACGTCATTTCTTAATGGATGACGTCACATTCATGTCATGAATACTACTGATTCAAAGATAAAACAACACAGAAGAGCAGGTTATTGTTGTTATTATTATTATTATTATTATTATATGTAGTAGTAGTATTTGGAGGTTTTGAAAAAAATCTAGTAAAAATAAAATTACATCAAGAACCCATGCGTGTATATATTTGTATGTTTGTATGTGTGTGTACGTATGTTTGTTTCTCTGTAAATTTACGTGTTTGTGTGTATGTGTGTATCCAAGTATGTATGTGTGTACGTATGTATGTTTGTATGTGTGTGTACGTATGTATGTTTGTACGTGTCCGTTCTCCCAGCCATATGCCAGCAGATTAACTCGTTAACTTTCCTGTGCTAATCACCGTGATAGTATCAATGACATCGTCGTCGTCGTCATCATCATCATCATCGCTATCATTGTTACTATCACTATCATCATCATCATCGCCATCATCATCGTCGTCGTCGTCATCATTAAATATTTATTGCGCTTATTCCGTGTGTCAGATAGTATCTCATGGAATATCTCATTACATCATCGTCGTCGTCATCATCATCGTCATCATCATCATCACGATCATCATCATCATCACGATCATCATCATCATCATGACGATGACGTCAGTATTTTGTATTGAGTGGTACGCGTCGCCGATTACGATCCCGTTAATATTTGTTACGTAATATTCTGCCTGTAGATGTGTGTGTGTCTGTGTGTGTTTGTGTGTGTCTGTGTGTGTTTGTTTGTGTCTGTGTGTGTTTGTTTGCGTCTCTGTGTGTGTGTGGGCATGTTTGCGTGTGTGTGTGTGTTTAATGTTGTTTCATTGTGAATGCGTGATGGGTTGAATATGAAATATTTGATTGGCAGGTGCGATATTTCAACCGTACAACTTCACTCCTTCGCACTTTGGTCAAGAACAACATCACGTTAGCCACCACCACCAACAACAACAACAACGTCATCATTTTAATCACCATAATTTTGTGACATCATCACCTTCTAACTTATCGTCAGCATCGCCAACATCAGCGAATATTGACTGCGGGGACGACAACAACAACAACATCAACAACGACCTATACCCCATAACGTCACCAACACCAACCTCACCATCACATCTTCCTCATCACTCGTTCCACCATCCAGCCATGTTTCCATTTTCTCATTATCAACATCATCATCACATCTCTCCAGAGACGCAGACATCATCATCTTCATCATCCTCATCTTCATCTTCTTCCTCCTCTTCATTACTACTTCCAAGTTATTCATCTCCTCATTTTTTTCCTTACAGCCCAAAATTTTCGCCTTCATTTGCTTACAACCACCACCATCCTCTCCCTCATCATCATCATCTTCCTCTTCCTCCTCACCACCACCACCCCATGAACTTTGACCCGAGTGCTCCGTACGACGGTGGTGCGGGTCAGTTTGCAAGGGGGTTTGGTTGTTTCACCGAAGAACAGGTTGCCTGCGTGTGTGAGGTCAGTCGGTTCTTATTGCAAGCAATCTCTCAAAACTAACACCACCCACCCCAACCCCAACCATACTCCCACTACCAACCCCAACCACATTCTCACTACTACTACCTACAACTTCCCCACGCAGGTCTTACAGCACAGCGGAAACATCGAAAGATTAGCTCGTTTTCTCTGGTCCCTGCCATCTTGCGAGCAAATCCAGAAAAATGAGAGCGTTCTGAAGGCGAGGGCCATCGTGACCTTCCAGAGAGGTCACTTCAAGGAACTTTACAACATCGTCGAAAACAATCACTTCTCGCCCCACAACCACGCCAAACTGCAATCTCTCTGGCTCAAGGTCTGTTGCCCCGCATTTTGGCACCGCTTCAAATGTGTTTTTCAAAGTATTGATAGTTTAGCGGAATTTGAGGGTTTTCAAGAAGTTGGAAATGTTTGGCTCGAAGCATGTGATCTTATTAAATATAAAAATTAATATTCACAGTGAACAAGTTGTCATAAACTTGAAGAAAGATTGAAACAAAATAAAAATAAAACCCATATATTGATACTAGCGGGTGTCTTCTTTGTGTATAAAAAAACTGTTAAAACCAACATTATCACTAATCAGCCATGAGCATGATGGCCTGTATTATTTGCTGGCACATTTCATTATTGATTGGGATTGACTGGCACCACCATTCATTGCAGGCACACTACGCAGAAGCTGAACGATCACGTGGAAGGCCGCTTGGAGCTGTAGGTTGGTGATTTGATGGTTGGTTGGTCGGTTGGTTGGTTGGTCGGTCGGTTGGTTGGTTCATCGGTTAATTTATTAACTGATTGGTTTACCCAACAACAACAGGAAAATACAGAGTCCGTCGCAAGCACCCTCTCCCGCGGACGATATGGGATGGCGAGGAGACGAGTTACTGCTTTCGTGAGCGATCCCGGCAGATCCTGAGGACGTGGTACTCCGCCAACCCCTACCCGTCCCCCAGAGATAAGAAGCAGCTGGCCGAATGGACGGGGCTGACCACCATTCAAGTCAGCAACTGGTTCAAAAATCGCAGGCAAAGAGATCGAGCTGCCGAAGAACAAGATAGGTCGGTTGGTTGGTTTGTTGGTTGGTCGGTTGGTTAGTCGGTCAATTTGTTGGTTGGCTGCTATTGAGTAGAAAACTAAAATATTTTATTTTTTTAAGTACTACTCAACAAACACGTGGCCATAAACAAAGGAACGTCTTAGTGAGATTTAATATTTTGAACGTCTTCACCCCCAGCGAGACGGCCAATCAGGATTCAGATAGCGGGAACAAGAGTGATACTCCGCCAATCAAAAATATCAACCAATCAAACATCCTCCCTGCCAATGGCGTCACGCTTAACTCTAGCCCCATTTCTTCGTCTCTCATTGGTTTAAATCACAACCAATCACGAATTGAGTCTTTCAGCAGTCAATCAAATAATAACACTAACAACAACAACAAAATGACGAGTGTAATCAAAAATGCGTAAATTGAGTTCGAAGAATTTTTGTGACGCATTTTTGACGTGCTGGCGAATCAAACAAAATTATATTGGCGTAATTATTAATAAGATAACCGATTTACAATCATTTCAGATAATTTCGAATTTTTATTTAATAAAATATTTTGATTTTATTTCAAAAAGTTTATTTATTAGAACCATGAATTAAAACAAAATTTGTGATTTTTATAACAAAAAATTCATTCATTCATTCATACGTCTGATCATTTCCAAAGTGAAATCTCAAAACATTGAGACTTATTGCGTGCAAATTTTTCAAGTGAATGACATCAACCCCAACGTAACTTCCATCCATTTCCAGAAGTAAAAAATTAAAATAATGTTTCAAATAGTGTCATGGCGGTTAAACAACGCTGACGATCTGAACACCCCTTTGAACATTCAAAACGCGGACCTAAAGGTCGATGCCATTATTTGGTTGAGGGGTATTTCAACATGCCCTATCTCCTGCCAGGATGGTAGCTTCTTATTCCTCGCATATTCGATCCATCTGTTGTCATCTTCCTTCGAGGTCAGATAGTTCATTCCAACCTGGATGTTGTTGTTGATGTTGTTGAGATTAAAGTTGTTGTTAAAGTTGCAGATATATCAAATTATATTTCAATTCAAATGAGTAACTCACCTGTTTCTCCAGGGCTTTCAAATCCGCCCAGCACTGATAATCCTATGAAATGTAAGAAAGTTAACGTCTGAGCGAACAAAAGAATGACAATAACACATAATGATAACTTTTCGGTCAATTCAAGATGGCACACACGTTAAATCTCATGATTTCCTCTACCAAATTAGACATCTTGGTTGTGGTTTGAACATTAGTAACCGCGTAGGGCTCTAAATTTAAACTCAAACTCTAATGTGTGATCGACAACTGTTCAATCGATTCAAGATGCTTTATATCAAAAAGCTCGGGGTTTCTACTACTACCCAATTTTACAGGAGTTTAAGTATTAGATGAATCTAGAAGAAAAACTACCATCCTAATTCATCATACCAGCACCTCATCTAAAAATTTGAACTATAGTTGTGTGTGTTCAGTTCAATGGACAGATAAATAAGCGAAAAAATGCATGAACGAGCAAATGAATGAATGAATGAATGGTCACCTGCATCCATGCATGGTTCAGTGCGTCTACGACCTTGAATCTGTTGCGAAGTTGAACTTGTAGAATCCTCACTATCAGGTCTATAGCTGCATTCATTGGTTGATTGATCGGTTGAAGTTGAATGATTGAGTGAGTGGATAAATTAATGAACGAATGAATCAATCAACCAATCAATCAGCCAATGACTGGACCGACCCTGCTGTGAAATGTTGCCCCAGAGATTCTTCGGGAACATGAACGCCGCGTTTTGTATCTGGTCGCTGATGTCTTCGTCTTCATTGAATGGGAAGGTGCCACTGAGGCTGGTGATGATGATGATGTTGTTGATGATGATGATGACGCAACAACCATGTTATCATCATCATCACCAGCCTACCTAACATACAGAATCACTCCGACAGACCACATATCAAGAGACCTGTTGTAACGCTTGTTTTTCAAAACTTCAGGAGCTTCAATCATAATTATATAAATTTATCTTTTATAATAATAATATATTATAATTATTACAATTATAATTAACTAAAAAAGAATAGTAGAATTAGTTTAATGTCATTGATTTGAGCCGACCCACCCAAATAAGCCGGGGTGCCAACAATGGACCTTCGGAAGGATTTCTCTCCAATTATCTTCGCAAATCCAAAGTCACACAATTTTACCTGTTTAAATGGTTGATTGATTGATTGATTGATTGATTGATTGATTGATTGATTGATTGATTGATTGATTGATTGATTGATTGATTGATTGATTGATTGATTGATTGATTGATATGAATTAAACGACAGCTGATAAAATGATAAGTTAGTATGAAAATAATTCATAAATTCATTAAATTTTTCGTTTATTAGTTCTTTCATTTGAACATGTTCATTTTTATATTCATTCATTCATTCAATCAATCAATCATTCATTCATTCTTTCATTTAATCAATCAATCAAGAAATTGAGCCGACCTGAGGAAACTTCGAATTAGAAGATAAAAGAACATTTTCTGGCTTGAGGTCGCAATGGACGATGTTGTTGTCGTGCAAGTATTTTAAGGCCATTAAGATCTGATCCACAATTAGTTTAAATAATTAAAATAAATAATTATAGCAGCTAGATAATTGTAAGCTGGTTAATCATTCAATCAATCAGCTGTGAGTCCAAAAAAGAAAGCACCAGATAAGCAAACGCGAGGTCTCTACGCATTCAAAGCCGGCAACTGCAACACAAGGGATGGACTACACTGCGCCATCTGTCCAACCAACAACAACACAACAACAACAGCAGCAGACCTGGTAGACGAAGAACTTGGTCATTCGTTCGTTGAGGCGGCTGTTGGCACTGCTGAGAATCATCTCCAACATGTCGCCCTTCAATTTCTCCATCACCACATAGATCTGGTGGATGGATGGATGGATGGATGGATGGATGAAAAAGACATAAAAAATGAGATGAAACAAATGTTGAAACACCCAACCTTATCAGCTGATTCATGGACGAACTCGACATTCACAACTCCAGGATGATCAATATTCTGAAAGGTAGTTGTTGAGAACCACCATCATCATCGTCGTCATCATCAGCATCATCATCACCAGCATCGTTATCATCATCACCACAAAATCATTTCCATCATCATCATCACTACCTGCAATATGCTGACTTCATTTTTGAGTTGCGCCTCTTGTTTGTCCTTGAACTTGGCCTTATCGATGACCTTGATCGCCACATCATGCTTCTTTTGCAGGTGTCTGGCTGTGGTCGACGATGGCGATGATGACGATGATGATGATGATGGCGATGATGATGATGATGCTTGATGATATTGTTCTTCCACACTGTCACAATCATTATCAGCATCATCATCATCAACGTCTCCATCGTCATCACCATCATCATCATCATCGTAATTAGATAAACCTCCATAAACTATCCCGAATTGGCCAGACCCTAGAACATCTTCCGGAAATATTTCGTATCTTTGGTTGATGTCCTGGTCAATAATCATGATGATGATGATGATGATGACGACGACGACGATGATGATGATGATGACGACGAAAACGATGATAATGAGACAAAGAACAGCATCAACAAGACTTACGGTAATTTTTTCTGACTGGCAACTGTTCTTAGCTAGTGAGTACAAATTTAATTTGATTCTATAAAATTAATAGACAAATAATAACAACAAAAACAAAATAACAACAATAATAAATGATATTGAATCAAAGTTTTTAATGAACACTTTCGTCATAAATCATTTTCCTTCCGGCAAAATAAAAGTCACGTGCCTGCTTTTTATAGCAAATTCAATTTCTTCTTCTTTTGCGTCATTAACGCTCCATCTTATTTATTATTTACATTTCATGACATCATCATTCATCGCATTCGTTATCTACCCTTCCCTCGTTTGCCACCAACAGCAACATCGTAATCAACAGCCACTTTCATCATCTTATCATCAAACACTCTCCCTCTCCACCCCATCATCTCACCAGTTTCCTTGCCAGCCCCACCACTCTGCGGGGTCAGGGGTAGCAGGGCCTGCCTGATGGCATTCTCAAACAAGATGGTCCTTTCCCTCTTCTCATCCGATCTCTCGTCCGCCCAGTTTTCTCCCACGCAATAAATTGTTTCGCCAACAACCATTTCAAAAATGTGTTCGCATGCCACGCTGTTGTTGTTGTTGTTCGCGGTGTTATTAGTTGTTGTTGTTGTTGTTGTTGTTGTTTTCTTCTTGTCTCCAGAAAAATTTGCCGTGCTGCTGTTTGGTTTTTTCAATTGCAGGCGTGTTACATCCTTCAGCTGAATGACCTGCAAACGGTGCGAAACATTCGCTGCAATCCTAGCTACAAATGATTGCAGAACATAAAAATGAAGCAAAATGAAGCAAGTTGTTGCAGTTAATGAATGTGGCCACTGCTACCTTGAAGTACCTCTTCTGCTTCTCCTCGGAGTACAGCGTGATGCACTTGGCGTCCAGCGTCCAATAATGATGTCGTTTCTAAGTGTGTTTCATCGCCACCATCTTCATCGTCGTCGTTGTCGTCACAACATCATTTCGTCGTCATCATCAACAACAACAATAGCGACTTACAGCTGGGTTGTGATTGGTCCACCAGACCATCCAATCGCTTCTTATGGATTGCACCCCCGTTAATTTAACGTTTCGAAATGATTGGACGACTCGTTGAAGTGGAATATTATTGGACGGCACTGACCTAATTAAAATTTAAAATTGGGTTCCAAAAATATGATTAATTCCCATTAAATTTGATGGCAAATGCATGCCTTATAACTTAGGATTAAAGTTGAAGAAATTAGCAAGTGACCTAAGTTCAGACACGGCAGCAGTTGGTGCAGTGCCACTATTGTTCATTTCGTTATTCACATTCGCAGCAGTAGGAGTATTAAAACTTGCAGCAGCAGAAGCAGCTGTAGCCACGTCACAACTTTCCTGTCTTCGTTGCTGTTGTGGCGAATCGTTGAGCGCAGTTTGTGGCTCGAAAGAATCGTTTCCACACGGGTCCTCCTCCACGTCAGTTTCTAGAAAAATTTCATATTCAACATTCATTCATTCGTTTCATTCGTTTCTTCATTCATCCATTCAATCAAGCAGTCAATCGCTCATTTGATTATTTATTCATTCATTTTCTACTCCTTTCTTTGTGCACGTGTTGACTGACTCAATCAATCAATCAATCAATCAATCAATCAATCATCCGACCGCCGGCTTCTCATTCCAATCTCCAATGACATAGGCAGAGCTTCATTCATTCGTTTTTTATTCATTTTTTCGTTCATTCATCAATCATTTACTCAAACGCTCACTCAATCATTCATGCATTCATTTATTTCTCCATCCATCCATCTAAGAACCTTCGTTGATTGCCCTCGTCTCACCCTGGCAATTGTTGGGCAGGTACTCCTGACACTTCTTGTGGCAATTTATCTTGCAGTCTGCCCATTCATTCGTCACAATCATCTCATTATTGCAATTATTCATTTTTTAAAGTCTAGCGATTGTAAACGAAAAATCTTATTTTACAATCGAACCAAATGATGGCCAATGCATTCGTAACTGTCTATAGTTCAACTACATGAAACTTTTTCATTTCAACGCCTTCATTATAAATATTTTTAAATTGAAAGTTGGTTGCGAGCAATAAAAACAGGGTCTGGCACGAAAATCTGGCACAGCTACATTCATTCACAACTCCTCTCTGTCTGAACTTCAGAGATGATGCGGTGCCGTGTGACATGATCAAATGTACCAAATGACTTAAAAACACATGAAAGCTTTAAACTGCCAACGAATTAGCACTTTGAAGGAAAATTTTTCAAATATTTTTCGTTATTTTTCACGATGAATACAAAAATTGAGAATCTGGCGGTAAAACCAACTAGCAGCCAGCAACTAGCAACAAACTAACCCTTGCACTGCATACTCTGGCCGACAATAGGCAGAAGTTTGTGACAATGTTGGCACTGAGTCGGCAGGGTGTAGTTGTGAGACACGAACGTGTGAGGAATCTGCAGTCTCAGGTTCGAACCGCGACGCACGCTCATCTCACTCTGCTGCACACTCAAACTCGATAGGTGGGAAACTCCATTGCTGGGTCTTCCCTATGGATATATATATATATATATATATATATAATATAATATAATATATTGGTACTTATTTACAGACGTATATATTTTATTTATATAGAGCTTAATTATAGAGCGTAATGTGATGTTGTGTGTGCTAGATAAACGTCTGAATGTTATAATGGTGATGGTGCTGGAGATGAAGATAAATGATTGCGTTGAAATAATAACAGTTATGAGGTTAATAATAATAACAACAACAATAAAATAAACAATAAAAATAATGATAATAATAATAAGTTAGACGTGTTATTAGAACCAGGATGTAAGAGGCGAAGCTACGAAGTAGAAAGCTTACTGCAAATCTTGCTGCATACCTGCTCTTTATTAATATTAATACATCATTCGTCAACTTCATCGTGTTTTTTTAACAAAAAAATACAAAAATAATAACAATCATTATTATCGTCATTATAATTTTTTAATTATTTCCATAATTATTAATATTTGCACCACCTTCATAATATTTCTTTCCTTCATAATATTGCTGATGCAGCCTCTCTCTCTCTCTCTCTCTCTCTCTCTCTCTCTCTCTCTCTCTCTCTCTCTCTCTCTCTCTCTCTCTCTCTCTCTCTCTCTCTCTCTCTCTGGATGTGCATCATTCCAACGCATGAACGAATAAATATATTATCTCTATCTCTCTCTTTTTTATAAATAAGAAAGAAAGAAAAGGAAGAAATGAAAGAAAGAGAAGAAGAGAGAGTGAGAGTGAGAGAGAGAGAATAAAAAGCAAAAACCTGTTGAGTACTATCATCGTTGATCATCTTCATGGAAGTTGGTTTGAAGGCCATACAATCGCCACGAATCTTGTACACACATCTCTTATGAAAGTTCAGACCACAGGCTGTTTGTTGGTTGTCGTGATGATGATGATGATGGTGATGATTGTGGTGATAACACGAGGGAGCAAATATAATTGTCATCAGATGTCATCCAGTTCATACCTACTTTTATTACGATTACAACAACAATAAAAGAATAATAATAACAATAAGTATAATAAATAAAAAAATAATATTAAGATTAATAAAATCAACGTAAATGTATTATGCGAACAATTATTCTATTAAATTAGAACGCTATTTTAAATGCAATTATTCAATAAAAGGTGTTTATCGCATATCTCTACATGCATGCATGCATATATATGGAGGGGAAACATGGGAATGAGTTACAAAGATAGGGAATGAATGGGAGTTCTGGAGAGGATCGGGAATGAGAAAAAATGGAGGAAACTGGGAACAAATTTCAATTCCTGCTCACCTCTCTAGTCTGTACGTGTTGTATGTGTGTATGTGTGTACGTGTGGTATGTGTATACGTGTGGTATGTGTGTACGTGTGGTATGTGTGTACGTGTGGTATGTGTGTACGTGTGGTATGTGTGTACGTGTGGTATGTGTGGTATTTGTTCGTGTGTTTCCGAGCGAGCTGGTTGAGGCGTTCGAGCTTACTTAATGACTGCCTCGTTGAAATGTAAGATGGCGAGCGATAAGTCACACATACACACACACACAGCGCGTGCCTGCTGCATTCATGCCGTGATATCCTTCCTTACAGTAGAATTCTCATTTCATTCTTCCAGTGTTCATTCATTCATTCATTTATTCGTTCATTTTTTCATTCATTCCTTCACTTTATGATCATTTTTGTGTCTTTCAAAAGTACCATCATCATCATCACAAACCGCCGCCACCAACGACCTTCACATTTGAGCCCCTGTTTAACCAGCCCCCAAAGCATCTCCCCGCAAAATTCGCAGAAGTGTGGACTCTTGTACGAGTGGATGTAGAGGACATGCTGTTTAGCACACAAGTCTTCTATGGACACTTTCCCTGGAGACGGTGGTCATGATGACGATGATGTAAGTGATGATGATGATGACGATGGTGATGAACATGAAGACATCAAAAAGTTGTTGAAGATGTTGCAGGTGATGATTACAAATATCGCAACGAACGATACTGTCGCTACTACCACCATCATCATCATCATCAACAACATCGGCAACATCATCATCATCATCATCACCATTTAACCTACTTTTACCTGATAGGACGACCTGGATGAGGCAGCCCTCCAAAACTTCCATCTGATTGGTCAAAAGTTTTAAAACATTTGGGTCAGATGGCTGATGGAGAAATAAGAGGAGTTGATTTTGGAGCCCCACAAATTTATGCTCAGGGTACTGTTGATGATGATTATGATGACAATGATGATGATGACGATGAAGATGGTTATAATTATCACCACCACCTTCGTCGTCGTCTTCTTCGCCATCATCATCGTCGTTAGCGCCATTGAAATTGTGATTAACGAAGTATCAAGAGTAGTTACATTTGCAACGATTGCACTAAGTGCTGGAGCGCAAAATAAATCAATGAGAGACCGAACATAATTACTTATCAACACAACAAACATACAAACAAACATATCAACATACACACAAAAATACAAACACAGAAATACACACAAACATACAAATAAACATACATGCATGCAAGAGAGGGACAAAAAAAGAATTAAATCTATCGCAGTATTGAAGAAGAGCTGTGCAAAATGTTAATGAAAGGCAAAGCCAGTAAGCATAGCATGGCCAATATTAAATTTTCAAAAATTGTTCGTTCATCCATCCATTCATTCATTCATTCTTTTGTTCGTTCGTTCGCTCATTCATTCAGTTATTTATTTGTTTTTCAATCATTCATTCATGTGCGTGCGACCATTAAATGAAATGAGTAAAATATAAATGGAAATTTCTGTGAAAAATGCAAGATATACGGAAACACAGACAAACACACGTACAAACACACATACATTCACACACACACACACAAGTACAGATACAAATACATACACGGACATATAAGATGAAGAAGAATTAAAAGCAGATGGTATTGTTAGAGTGGAGAACGTTCCACGATAATTAATTAATTCAACAACACTCAATACAAACCATTTTTTGGTCATCATTCTCTGCAAATATTCTCTCTCTCTCTCTCTCTCTCTCTCTCTCACCCTCTTTCTCTCTTCACTCTCTTTTTTCTCCTTCTTTGTCTGTTTTCTCAATCTCTTTTCTTTGTCAATTGATCAGCTGTTTTCTTTTTATTGAAGAGATTTCTTATTCAAATTTTTTTCATTTTGCGTCTTTTTAAAATTCCTAATTAAAGTTGTTATCGCTTCAACTAACGACAATCCCTACTCTCCTCTCCTTTCTTCTCTCCTCTCTCTTCTGTTACTAGGTCTACTTGTTTTTCTAATTTATTCTCACTACCTTCGACGGTAACAACAACATCGTTAACATCATTCCCAATCTCCAACGACAAAAACAACTACTGAAGCTACTGCTGCTGCTACTACTACTGCTGCTGCTACTACTGCTGCTGCTACTGCTGCTACTACCACTGTTGCCGCTGATAAGGAGATGAAACGATAAAGAAAATTACTGCAAAATACTAGCGCCATGTTATTAGAGTATCTCTCAGTGGCCCAGGCACCCTGCCTCCTCACACGCATACGTGAAATGAAGTTATACTGCAAGAACCTAACATTATCACGTTCATACACGCGTGCAAACAGACAAACACACACACACACACACACACACATACATACACACACACATACACATGCATACATACATACATGCACACATGCACGTATGCATGGATCCATAATTAATTTTATGTCATCGTCGGCATAAATATGAAATTGATCACCAGTGTTAGTAAAAACAGTAAAAATGAATGAATAAATGAATGAATGAACGAACGAATGAATGAATGAATGAATGAATGAACGAACGAACGAATGATTGAAAGGTATAAAAAAGTAATATAGGAAACGATGTAATATTTTCAATTGAAATAATATTATTCATCATTAATCATCATTAAAATTTCAAAATTGGGTGTTATTCTTAATTTATATAGCACTTCATTGTTTGCTTTCTGACTGATTCATTACTTTCATTCGTCATCAATTTGTTGTTGTTGTTGAATAAACTTTTGTTACTAACACTAGATCATTTAAGTGGTGTTAGTCATGTGTTGTTTGATGCTTAACAACATATGTTCTTTGTTATTGTCGACAATGTTATAGCAGCAGTAGTAGTAGCAGCAGCAGCAGCAGCAGCAGTAGTAGTGGTGGTGGTGGCATTGAAACAGCTTCTAATATGGCAAGTGATGAGTTGTACCAGCTCTTGAACATAATGAGTGCTTAAAGCAGGAAAGTTGATGAAGATGAATGTATGCTAGAGAACAAATGAGAGATGATGATGATGATGATGGTGATGGTGGTGATGATGATGATGAAATAGAGAATGATAATGATAATTTTAATGAAAAAAATCCGTAATCATAATGGCGAGGTGGAGGAAGAGTATTGGGCAAACATTTCTCTTGGAAAGAATTTAATCACACGGACATCTTTTACGAAAGGAAATCAGTTCTGTCTGTCTGACGCGATGATACTGTATCTCAAAAAAATATTGATATCATATCTTTTCTTAGATTCGTAAGGTAATGGAATGATATCTTACATTCAAAAAGCCAAATGACCAAAAAATATTGAAGAAATTCTAGCAAAAGTTTTTGCATTTTAATGATGTTTTATTGGCGTGGAGGAACTTCAGAGTGATATTTATAAACCTACAAACAGTCAGACAGACATGCATACAGACATACGAACATAAAAATATATAAACAACAAAAAAACTCTTGAAATATCATTATAACATTCTTTCGTTATTAATTGCTAATAAAAAAATCGGCGCTAGTAACAGCAGAAGTAGTGGTGTTGGTGGTGGTAGTAGTAGTAGTAGTGAAAGTAATAGTAGTAGTAGTAAATTAACTGTAGGAAATTGTAATTATAAAGCTCGTAGAAGTTGTGATTAAAATCTGATTTGTTTTCTATCCGAGGTATGTCAGTGTTTATGTTTTATTTTTAGGAATGTATGTACGTGTGTGTGTGTGTGTGTGTGTGTGTGTGTGTGTGTGTGTGTGTGTGTGTGTGTGTACGTATGTGTATATGCGTATGTATGCATAAAACCCACTTTCTATATGAAATAAAAAACAGTTTCTGAATAAGAATTATATTACGGTAAACTTCTAAAAATAGATCTTGCTTTGGTTTAATGTGTTCATCACGACTGTCCAATCAGCGTCATCGTCGTCATCCCAACTGGCATTTTATTTTCATAAACTTATTACATTTTTCTAACACTACCTTCACTTACTTCGCTGATATTTCTTTCACGCAGTCATAATGCTCGTAAATATTTTATAATGCTGTTATTGCTGTTATGATTCATCTTGCTGTGTGCTATATTTTTATTCAAACAAAACACCAAGCAAGATTTTACAGTAAATAAACTGCTTTATATGCAAGGGTAATGAAGCTTGTGGGGGCGTGTGGTGGCGTGTGGTGGCGCCGATGAAGACGCTGACGGAAGCGCTGTTAGAAACAGACAGCCATGTTAACATTTCACAATTTAAAATGCAACGAAGACGACCAGCCAAATGAAATAAGTTATGTAATAAACAAACAGACAGACAGTAGGACAGACAGACGGATTAGTAACAAAACATATGATCAGAGAATGGAGAACATTCGGACTGAATAAAACTCATGACGGCTCCTACATAATGTGATTAAATTTGCAGCCACCAAAAGCAACGCAATGAAACGCACGATCAACCAGATGATAATCCTAAATCTCCAGCCTCCAAGAAAATTCATCTGCTTGTTGTTTTCTTGTAGCTGCTATCTTTAATTTTGTTATAAAGCGATAGAAAACATGCATGCTTCACACATACAATATATTTACATACATACGTACACACACACACACATACACACACACATACACATACACAAATACTTACAGATATTAGAAGACTCGACAGATAATAAGTTACTGAAAAAAAATGTGAAAGAACATGCGAGCCAGCACTCAAGATATGAAAGTTTCCAAGCATCCAACGAAGCAATTACAAGCAGCCTCGGAGCATGAGACACGCACCACAACATATTACTCCCGCATGACTGCAACGATACCTTTGAAAAAATTTCTTCCGCAACTAACCGCACCAGAATAATCGACAAATCAGACGCCTAAACTCATAGAGATAAAAAATGAACAGCCTACATACAAATCTTGCGTCATCAGCGATAACAACTTCAACAGCCACGACATCGACGACGACGACCAACCGCTCTAGCGACCAGAGCCACAGCACTTTCCTTGAGGGCGATGAACTTTGCGTTCCGAGCTGCCAATGAATCGTTGTGGCTGGTGGTGGTTGTGGTGGTTGTGGTGGCGTTTGTTGCTGGGTCGACGTCGATATTCACCCACTCTCTGAGGACACCGACCTGCATTTGCACGCAGAAACCATCGCCCGTTGGATCGCCACCACCTTGCTGCTCAGTTTCACTCATTTGTTCTTGCTGGTGCTGTTGACGCTGATGATGATGACGTTAGTGATGATGACGTTGATGATGATGATGATGACGCTGATGATGATGGTTTTGTTGATGTTGATGTTGTTGCACTTAGCAGAGTTACTAAGAATCTACAGCAGCAACGAGAAGAGAGGCGAGCCAACAACAACAACGTACCAACCGAGCAATTAATTAATTAGTTAAGGTTAATTAGTTAATTATTATTCCACTACCATCCAACTGATGATGATGCTGGTTGTAGTGGTGATGTTGTTGTTCTGATGACGGCAATGAAATCAGACCGTAGAATTACAACCACAGCTGAAAAGATGTTTAAAAAATTATTAAAATAACGTGCCGAGATGTGAATGATGACAAACTTGGATGGAATGTGTAAATAAGTAAATTCTTCAAGATGCATGCAAACAGATGCATTGGTTGGTTTCTACGTTCGTCCATGCATGTGAGTGCGTCTCAGCCTTCTGTTAAATTCACTATTTGGTACATTTCTATTTTTAAGTGAGAAGGCTGGTGTTCGCGGGTGCATGATGCCTCATTAATGCATGGATGAATTAATGGACGAATTAACCAATGAACTAATAAATAAACAAATTAGTTAATTAATAAATGAATGATTGTTTAAAAAATGAATGTCGAGAACTAGGTTGGAAGAAATGACAAAAATGTCGAGAATGAGTGAGCGTCGCCAAATAGTGACTACAGTTCAATTCGAGAGCCATAAGTGTAAAATTCTATTCAAGTGTTCACGTTTTTGTACACTAGCTAGCTTGTCTATTGGTATGTCTGTTTGTATGTTTGTTTGTATGTTTGTTTGTTTGCAAGTTTGTTTGTAAGTTTGTTTGTTTGTTTGTTTGTGTTCTCTCACCTACAAACATGCATAAATTTGTTTGTCATCAGCCATAAAACATCAACTGAAATGTACAGCCAGCCTGAGAATAATTTAATATAACTTGTCGTTAATTTAATGAAATCAATTCGAAGCAGTCTCTGTTTGTCTCTCTGTGTGTCTACTCGTTTCTTTGTGTGGTTTGGTGTATGTATCAATATGTATGTATCTATGTATGCGTGTGTGTATGTGTGCATATTTGTGTTGTATACATATAAAAATGTGTGATATGTATGTTTTTTATTTGTAGATACTTTGCTACAAGTCCAAAAATGAATGAAAAGTTGACTAGGAAAATGAAGGAGAAAGGAAGAAAGAATGAATGAGTGAGTGAACGAATGAATGAGCGAATAAATGACTACTACTACTACTACTGCTACTGCTACTACAATACAAATAGTAAAAGTGATAATAATAACAACAACAAACAATTTAGCAATGTAACTTACTATGAAAACTGTTAGCGTTACTTGATGCTGTTGTTGATGTTGTTGTTGATGTAGATGTTGTTGTGGATGTTGTTGTAGATGTTGTTGTTGATGTTGTTGTAGATGTTGTTGTTGTTTCACCACATGTTAATAATCATTGAAACTTGTAACTTGTAAGAGCCACCAAACAGCAAAAGTATTTGAAACTAACATCAGATAAACAAATAAATAAGTCTAAAAAAAAACTCTTCCATTTGATGATTCACTTAATTGTTATTTATTGATTAAATATTAATAATATAAAAATATATTTATTTAATAATTAATAATAATATTCTTCAACGATAGAATGTTACGATCGATGTATCTAACTTACTATTAAAGAAATAAAGTTAATAATTATTATTTTCAATTATTCATTAACAAAATTATTGCAGCTATTATTATTCATAATATTAATTATTATCGTTCAATTTAAAGTTTATAACTTATAATATTAACTGATTTGCATAAATGAAAACACATATACACACACATATATGTGTGTGCTAATACCTTATATACACATATACATGTGTGTATATGTGTGTGCGTATATACAAACATGTATAAATATATATATATGTGCGTGTGGGTGTGTGTATATATATATTTATTAATATGTGTGTTGTGATCAGTTATGTGCATGTTGGATAGACTTCTTAATGCAGGCATAGCAGCCGAACAATGTTTTAAATAGGATCCCTGATGCCTTATCTTATACACACATGTATATATGCACTATGAATATGTATATATATATATATATATATATATACGTGTATATAATGTTCAATTTTAATATATATACAAGTGTATGTATGCATGTGTGTGTGTGTATAAGATGAATATTAATCAGCATACAAGAGCTAGTAGTAGTAAGGACAACAATGCAGGCAGCCTTCATTGTCGTCTGTGTAGGCCCGTCGCATCTAGCACGCACCTACACTATTTTTAAATTATAAAATTTATATTTAACTGCGATGACAAACACACACGTATACACGCACGCACACACACGCACAATGATTACAAAACGTTTCTTTTCCTTCCTAAATTTTGTTTTTCTTGCATAATAAGTCTCGAAGCGGAAGATTGCATTATTAAAAATATACAAAACTTAAAATACCCGCCCAGGGTGTGGGAGCATACATACAAACACACGAACATACAAACACACAAACATACGAACACACGAACATACAAACACACGAACATACAAACACACGAACATACGAACACACGTACAAACAAACATGCAAACATTCAAACATGCACACATACACAGAACGTAGATGCATTACAAACATGGAAACAAATTATGCGGACAAACGGGTGATGTATTTTTATTGTTCATACGCAAAGCAAACTATGAAATATTCATAATGAAAAATGCGTTATACCACACATATTATACACAAGAGTACAACATACACACGCGCACACATACAAAATGAATTTAAACACACATAGATGTACGCACGCATACAAGTATAGAAGGAAGGATGGATCGAGAAACGAATACGTGAATGAATGAATGAATGAATGAATGAATGAATGAATGAATGAATGAATGAATGAATAAATGAACGAACGAACGAACGAGCGAACGAATGAACGAACGAATGAACCAATGAACCAATGCCTTCTGCTCGCTATGTGATTTTAACACTTTGTTTTCTTCTTCCATAAACATTTTTCGAGATTAACAACAAATTTTCTGTAAAATCTGAAATATTTCTCAAGGAAAATTTATCAAATTTTTTAAAACACGTCAAATTATGTGCAATTTCAATAAACTTCGAGCTTACAGACGCCACCGTGCCAGCCACCGCCATCACGACGCCCCACAAATATAATTCATTTAATACATCGTACAATTATCCAATCCATCTGTTTCATCATTGGTTTAAATCACACACAGCACATTTCCATCATTATCGTCATCGTAATCATCATCATTAGCTTAGGCAAAGCTGCTTCGAGGAAACATTGAAGAAAATGTTCGCCCGCTGCTTCGACTCGCGAGAATTCTGCTCAAAATGGAATTATCCCAACGAAAACCAACTTTTTACTCATTCCGAAATTTTCAAATTTGATGGAGATTATTTCTTTAAAATGAAACAAATGAAACAGCTGCTGATGAACATTTCTTCCAACAATCAGAAAAGAAAGTTTAACAATCCAATATGTAAAACAAAAGGTGCAGGAAAACAAAGTGGCCGCAAAGCTAGGCTGGAAATGCGTGTATATGTACATGTACAGGCATGAACTGGGATGAAGAAAAAACATCCATTGGCGTCTGATTCCATCCCATCACGTCATCATCACATCGTCATCTCGTGCAAAACATTGTTTTAGTTAAGTAGTGCAAATAAATTATCTACCTTATTTACAATTCTGATGAAAAGCATGCTGAAATTGAACAATAAAGTAAAAAAAAACTAAAAAAGCGGTTGGTTAATATCTTATTTAACTGGAATAAATAAATTGCACTCTACGATCGGTTTGAAAATGTAGGAAAATTAAAAAAAAAGTTAAATCTATCATTACTGCATCGCTATCGACTGCCATACAATCACAAGGTATAATTTAATAAAAGTATTCAAGAATAAAATCTATGCAGTGACGAGAAATGTTCAACTGATATGAAACAATCAAAATAATGAAAATCATGTCTAATTAATATCATTTTCTATTTTAAATAAATGCTACAATTGCTTCCCGGACGCTATATAAACAACTTTATAACATCAACTTTCAACAGGTGCGTTCACTTTTAGAACTGTACCTCAAGGTGATGTTGTACTTTCGTTCCGGGTTTTGTTTCGAGAAGACTTTCGAGTTCTTGTTCATTCTGTTCAAACTTTTCTTCTTGTTCACTCCGACATCTCCGTTCATGTTCTTCACTTTTAAGCTTTTCACGTCTTTTCCAACGTCACAGAGCAGTCTGCTGGGTACACGGACAGCGTTCTGCTGCCGGTGAGAGGAGGTTTTGGGACCATCATCAGACTGTAAGGTCGCAGGAGTTTGCTGTTTAGTGTCCGAACGGTCAGCTGCTAGAACATTTTCCTTGGTCTCCATGGCTTTCACTCCGTTCCTACTTGCTTCTTTGACTGATACTTCGTCGCATTCTCCAGCGGATCCACATTCTTCTCCAGTTAATCCGCACCTCCGCTCGTTTTTTGTTTCCAATTCGTCTGTTGGAATGTTAGAAATAAAAATATTAAAACATTAATTTGTATGTTTTTACTTTTGGTCTTGGAGTTTTTATTATGTTTGTTTAGTCAGCTGTTTAAAGTTTATACGTTGCCAGCTGTTTCAATCCAAAGAAATGTCAGCCGATTAATCATTTATTGATTCAACACAGAATAAATGTAAAGTAAAATCGATCAAAACGTTCTTTAGGTTTCAAATATATAAATTTGAATTACTTTTATTATTTCACAATGACAATAAGGAGTTAAAAAAGAAGATGGACCCACTCTTTTCGACGACGATCCATTCATCTTCATTGTAAGTCTGCAGTGTCAAGGTGCTCGCATCTTCGCCCTTCTTCTCAGCCCCGAAGAAAAAATTTGCGAGGTTTTGCAGCATCTTCTGCGTTTCAGTTTTATCATTAACGGTGTTATTTCATTCAAAATTTTCCAATGTTACGAAAAAAGAATACTTGGAAAATGTAAAATTAAAGAAAAAAGAATGCGGTTTAACTTGATTTCTAAACAAAAAAGACTTCAATCTTCAAATAATAGGCTCGCTCCTTCAACTAACAGTTCAACTTTCTTACTTGCTTGATTGTTTGTGATTATTTGTTCTAAGTAAATCGAAAAAACAAATGTAACGAGATGTTAACATGTAACGACAACAAAGCAATCAGCCGTTCTAGGCATTTAATGTATGCAAATTTATTATAATTTATTCACACGTCAGGAGTACAGCTGATTTTATTTACTGCTGGTAGGGCTGGGCGGATTTAATGTTTAGAAAGATGAGTTTTTTGAATTTATTTCTGCTAAACATCGGCCTAACTTTGCAAGTTTGAAAACAGAAAAAAAATTAAATAATTTTCCTATTTGAAAAAAATTATACCTGCAAAAATTGTAAATTTTGAAATTAAAGCACCCAAGTTTTACTTAGGTCCACTTACGAGCAGGTTAAGGCCACGCTGCTGGCAAAAGTGCTAAATGGACTAATTCACTATTGACTGGTTCAGTGATTCGTATTGTGTTCATTGGTATTCCCTAATTTTAATTATTTTGACGACTGCGGTGGGGAGTGAATCGACCGTTCTCTGCCTGTGTGTCTGTGCCGGCAACGTTAGTGAAAGTTGGATGAAAGTACATGATGATGGAGGCCACAGAAGAGGGAGAGCAGAACAGCATCCCTTCTTATTCTTATCAAAATGGTTTCTTCCTTATTTTACTTTTTAAATATTTAATGAGCATTTTTTAATTAATCAAATTAATAAAAGTAAGAAACGCTTGATAATAAAAATTTAATTTTAATGCTAACATGTAGTAATTTTAATGCTAAAATTCAATAAAATAATCTACTAAATTATTAAAGCTCTACTAAACAAAACTCATAAACTGAAGTAAAGAAAAGATGTGTGAAAATGTGTGCACTGTGTATGTCTATGTATGTGTGTGATTGTAAAAAAAGTACAATCAACCTACTTTGGTCTGGCTTTTTAATTAATTTAAATTTAAAATAAAAATTAATTAAATAAATAATTTATTAATATCTTAGTAAATTATTAAAAAGTAGTTTGTCATTTCATTTTTATCAAAATTTTATTGCTCACCCAATAATATTTAACAACAATTGCAAAACATTTCAGAGGTGAGAACAGAAATTGTTGTTGATGAAAACATGAAAATCAAATTATCTTCTTCCTCCTCCTCACCACCACCTCCAACAACATCTGCAACAACAACATCCGCAACAACAACCACAACAAACAACGAGTTGAAATTTCCTAAAAAATCCAAAAACTATGTTGACAAGTTGTTACACTTCAAACAACAACAGCAACAGCAGTCACAACAGCAAAAGCAACCCAATCCTCATGGAGTATTCATTGATGTTAATAATGCCATCTTACAGAATATACAAGTTGGTACACACAGCAGACATGTACATAAACACAGATACAGGCATACACGCGCGCGCACACACACACATACACAGTGTAACCAACTTAATTTTCATTTTTTAAATAAACATTTTTAATTTCAAATTTGAAGAAGCATGAATTAAATATTATTTTAATTTTACCGACACTCGTATAAAACCAATCCCTCGCATACAATCAGATTAAATCAGAACCTAGCCGGATATCCTACATTGTCAAGACTAAGTCTTCCTCTTCATCAGCCTCTAACAGCACCAACAACATCAGCAAAAACATCAACAACAACATCAACAGTAATGATGATGACATCAACAAAGATGAAAACATTAACAATGGCATTATCATCGGCAGTAATAATAATGATGAGGCGCCTCACAAACAAATTCTTCTTCAAAATTATTCAAAAAATGATGTTTCGCGTGAGCATTCAGTTATAGAGGTGATTTTAAACAAATGAATCTATATGATAGATAGATAAATACATGAATGAATGGATGGAAAGAGCGTGAGAGAGAGAAAGAAAGAAAGAGAGAGAGAGAGAGAGAAAACTAATGGGAAAGCGATATCATTATTTTATAGTTATTGTTGAATAATAATATTGTTGGATGGATGAAATTTAGGGAACTGGGTGGGGTATTGTGTGGAAAGAAATGGCCAGAGAAGATGAAAGGGAGGGTATATAAAGCATGTGTGAGAGCAGTGATGGTATTTGGTGGTGAAACTTGGGTGTTGAGGAGAGAGGAGGAAAGTGTACTGCAGAGGGCTGAAAGATGATGTGTGGGGTTAAAGTGAAGGATAGGAGGAGTAGTACAGAGCTGATGTCAATGATGGGACTGAATGAGGACATTGTGACATTGATAAGGAGATCGAGATTGCGGTGGTATGGACATGTGTTGAGAAGGGATGAAAGGGTCGGGATTAGGCGAGCGTTGGAGTTCGAGGTTGAAGGAGTGGTAGGAAGGGGTCGTCCGCGATTGGGATGGAGAGAGCAGGTGGAGAAGGACAGGGTGAAAGCGGGGTTGCGTGATACTGAGGCGAGTGACAGATGTGGATGGCGTCGAGGGGTATTTCGGTTTCATCATAGGTAGCCAAACGGCAACCCCCGATCTCGGGGAAAATGCCGTCTAAACGTGTGTTGTTGTTGTTGTATTGTTGAATAATAATTATTTTTTTTAATCAGCACATTTAATAACTTTCACTCTTCTTCCTCGTGACACAGTTGAAAGAGACCGCCTCGCCACAGTTGCCATCAACACCACCAACATCATCTCCCCATCATCATCGTCATCACTCAGCATCATCGCTATCTAACCATTCCATCAACACTTCCCCATCAAGTATGATTGACGTCACCACCAACATCAACTTACAACAACTGCAACAACAGATGGACTCATCAAATTGTTTAGTTTGTGGAGATCGAGGGTCAGGCTTTCATTATTCAACATTCAGTTGTGAGGGTTGCAAAGGTTTTTTCAAAAGAACTGTTCAGAAGTCGATGGTGTATGCATGTCGAGAGTCGGGGCATTGTGATGTTAACAAGGTTTATTTTTAGATGTGTTGTAGAGATGTGCTGTGGAGATGTGCTATAGAGAGATGTTCTCAAGTTTTAGCTGATTGATTGCTGGAAGTAATTGATTAACTGATTGGTTCATTATTTGAGTGACGATAACAATGAAATTTTCAGTTGACAAGAAACAACTGCCAATACTGTAGATTTCAAAAGTGCCTCGAGATGGGGATGAAGAAGGAAGGTTAGCTGATTGGTTTGTTAAACGAATGTTCATTTTCATTCAAGCAATTATGATCGACACAGCTGTCCGAGAAGACAGGACACCTGGCGGTCGACAGAAGAACACGAACCTTATGAACTCTGTCAACAAGAAACTTCGTGTTGATGGTAGCGATGGTAATGATTGCAGATCATCATCGTCGTTATCATCGTCCTCGTCATCTACTCTCCACTCACCCGAATTGGATGACCTCATAAAAAGACTCGTCGATGCTCAGCCCCATCTTTCTCCTTCCACGCAAGGTTCTCCTCATTGTTTTTTATGATGACGTGATGATGACGATAATCACAAGCACACCAACCACACCACAGATCTGCCATCATACAAGCAGCAGTCCCTCAACTCGTCGACCATACTGGAAATGGGCAACCTAATGCACTTCGGCTACCTGGAGTTGAGGCTCATCATTGCATGGGCCCGCAAAGTTCCCGGTTCGTTGGCTCGTTCGTTCGCTACTTTCTGCGGTTTTTTTTCTCATTATATGATGAATTGGTTGAACTATACACTGAATTATGTGATGAATTGGATGAATTATATGGTGAATGGATGAATATACGATGAAAATGATAAATTATATAATGCATATAATGAATTGATTCACGCAGGATTCGGTAAACTGTCGCCAGTAGATCAAATTGCTCTTTTGAAATCGTCATTCATGGAACTGAATGTACTAAGATTGGCTTTCAGGTGGTTCGTTTGTTTCAGATTTTTTCTTGAAAATTGTTAAAACTTTAATGCCGTCTTAGTGAATGAAGTTTCGACTGTCAATTAAATTTACCATAATTATTTTTTATGTTACCCAAAGTTGAATCAAGCTCGTTGCTCATTAGATCTTTAGATTGCGATGGGTGTGTGCGATTCACGGAGGGCTTGGAGATACCACTGCAGAAGTGTTCGGATGTTCGGTTAGGGAAAGAGTTAGTGAAGTTGACACTGGAGTTCATCAACAGACTTCGATTCACAAACATCGATTCCACGGAATTCGCCATTCTTTGCTCCATCGTCCTCACCTATCCAGGTTCTACATGTTTTGTTTTCATTTTATATCTACCGCCACTTGAAAGCCACCTACCTAATCGTCGTAATGAATAATTAATCCACAAAGACGCCAGCGGCCTAGCAGACAAACGCTCGGTGAGCTCGCTGCAATCTCGCCTGCTGGACTGCCTTCAGCACTACACGAACGCCAACTATCCATCGGAACCACGTCGTTCCTGTCGTCTGCTCTTGAGGCTGCCCTCGCTTCGAACCATATCCGCTCATGCCGCCGAAATGTTCCTCAGCCTCTCCCTCGAAGGCAATGTCAAGATGAACGATCTCGTCCTCGAGATTATCAATAAGATTGGTTGATTGTCGTGATGATGATGTGACGATGATGGTAATGATAGTTTCGTTGATGATGATGCTCTTTCTAGGGTGCTCCATATTTCTCACGAACTGTTTCTGCATTTTCATGATTTGCAAAGTGCTTGTCATAAATGATGGATGCTGATGGCGATGACGACGATGGCTCTGGTTATCACAGTCACCGTAGCGTCGTCGCTGCATTATTTTTTCCACTCATCTTAATTGTAATATGTTATTATTGGGGTTCTGCTAATATTATTTTTAATACGCTGACTGACTGCACAAACTTATAAAAAATTTGCATGTCATAATATTTAAATATAACACAATCCATGTGAATGCATTTCATCAACTGTATGTGTTGTACATTCGTCTTTTCGTGTCGTGTGCACGGGCTGACGTTTTCGTTCTTGTTTTGTAGTTCTCTGCAGTTCTTGTGCTTTGATTTAATGTTCATTTTTTTCATATTCTTATGTTGGCAATTTTAATTATTCTAGCTAAAGTGAGAACATTGTTTTGTTTGCTCGTTATTTCACTACCGACTGTTCGTTAATTCGAGAAATGTTCGTTTAAAGACTTTTGCAAACAAGTTGCAGACTTCTTCAAATTTACTTTGAATCGTCTCTCCAGTCCACCACCGTTTTTTCAATCCAGTAATCAGCCCGCTAAGAAAACTTCTGTTCGAAATTTATTGCTGTGGCTCACTGAAACGTAATCTTCTGGCCTATCAGCAAGGGCTTTTTTACGTAAACTTTAATCTTCGTATCAAGTATCAATCAAAGCTTTTGCCTCTCCTTTAATACCGTGAAACTTGCACGCTAACTTGACGTAGAAATGTGTTTAAAAGCGGCGAGGCCTGCCACGCATGGATGCCTCACGGAGATGATGCAGTGCGACACGAAGGGCGATGGCGGTTCTGCCTGCACTCGAGCTCCGACGACATCGTCACGTGATATCAATTTTATTATTTTTCGTCACCTTATTACAGGCAACTATCATTAATGTTGATCGACAATGGCGGATAATTTTATTTTAAATGTTTTTCGAAAAGAGAAATAATAACTCTCAACATAAATATCGTATACAGTTTAAAAACATAATTTTAAGCAGAGTGAAAGATGGATGGATGGATGTTTGAATGAATGAGTGAGTGAAAGAATTTATGAATAATGTATATAAGAACAAATATAACTTATCTATCAGGATCATTATCATCAACGCCAAAATATCATCATCACAACTCTCATACCTGACGACGTCAAGTCAATATTCCACTGCAACAAAACGACATTCCGACCAATGTACGGGTACCCATGTATGTTCATTCATTCATTCGTTTGTTTGTATAAATAGATGACTGCAATTTCGTTGAATGCAAAATAACGAAGCTTAATAATATTAAAAATAATAACTTTTTGTAATGATTCAGACCATATGACAAAAGAAAATTGAATAGGAAATAAAATCAGTGTCAAATACGAAATCTTAAGAAACTATTTCTCGCATTAACACAAACACACCAACCAACGATTCGAACAATCAACCAGCACACTAATCAATCAATCAATTAATCAATCACATTTTAAATGTTAAAGGTTATAACTGGCAGCATTATCTTGGTGCGCCAGAATTTTACTTTCCAACTCGAGAATGATCACAGTCGTCGTCGTCATCATTAATGATTGTGATGCGGGTCGAGTGAATCATGACGGAGGTAATAATTAAATAATGAATCATTCGTACTGAAATTATTTTCAACTCTCGCAGCAATTATTATAAATATTTTCAGCACAAACGGCATAAAGGGGTTTCCCAAAAAAATCTTTAACAATCTTCAAATACACACCAATACTAAAATGCGGATTGCATCATATCGTTAATCATCGGAAAGAAAAACTGCAATACTGGCGCACGGATACATCCATGCAGACACGTACAGGCACACGCACACAAACTCCAAAACCAAGTTAACAAGACAATAAAAGAAATTAAGAGTAAACTCATGCAGATAACCGATGCAATTGAACTACATGCAACGACATACCATCGCTTGCTCATTTGTCCATCTGCAGAGCTTTATATATAACATCATCATTATGTGGCATCCCGGCCACCAGCATAAACAGTATTATCATATTTCATATTAGGCAGGGAACGTTATTTCAAATTTACAACAACAGTTCAATGAGAGTTAAGTAGCACACGCAGGCACCTCATGTTAAATCGTTAGGCATACATATATACATACTGTGCATACTGTACACATGTATATGTGTAGGTAGTGCAACTGAGTAGAGTTAAGTAAGAATAATTGACATGTACCTTCCTTCATAATTAAATCACAAGAACAAAAAAATGAATGAACAAACCAGATAACCGATGATAGAATGAATGAATGAACAAAGGAGCAAATAAATGAACAGATGAATGAACAAATGAACAAAAGAACAATTGAAAGAATGAAACCGTGGTAGGTATCAAAAGCCGAGATTGAAGTGGAAGGAACAGTAGAACTGCTGAAAATTCAAATTGCAACAACAAAAAATTAAATAACAGAAATTTCCCATATAACTTAAAGTTAGTCAACCTGAAGGACGCATACACACCCACGAACATTCAAACGCATAAGAACACTCAAAGATGCACACACGTACAACCTGATACATATATATATATATATATAACATATTGATCGTTATATAAATATCATATGTCCTAATTTTGTTATATCTTAGAAATTTTTTCATAAGCAACTCGGGGGTTGTTTTTTGTGATCTCCTTCTGTCCTTGTTCTTTGTAGTCGAAGGTGCATGCGTGCGTGTCCGAGTATCGATGCAGTCCACAGAATAAACCACCACAACGGCAACCAAATCCTGCCAAACGATATCATTTCAAAATTAATTTCAAACAATATAAAATCCTCTTTTATTGCAAGCAGTATCAACTTGGATGTCTTAATATTACAAGAGTCAGATTATACTAGATGCATCTAACCTGTTAGTCCCACTTTCTTCTTACAAATATTACATTTGTTTCTTTTTGTCTCGTTACTTTTTCTTGCTGAAGTTTCGCTGCCAACTGCTTCACTGCAGACAGCATTCAACGACCTAGTATCATTGATGTCCAACGTTTTGATCTGGTCATTTACTTTCTCTTCACTTTTACTTCCTGAAATGGAAAAATTAAAAAAAATTGAAGTAAGCCAAATTATTAAATACACTTTTGATAAACATCAAGACAAAAAAGGTTTGTGAGCACACAATCAGCAACAACCTTCAATCACTCCACTGGAGTGATTTTCTTTCTTAATGTCACTTAGGCTAGATGTTGAACATGCATGTTGTTGATGCTGTGATGATGATGATGTTGATCCAATATCATTATCGATACCACTATCTCCTGTATAACTGGATACCACATTGAAAAAATTGGATGCTGCTCCAGTTTCCTGCATTTGATCTGAAAAAAATAATACAGTGCATCTTCAAGATATTATTATAACAATCAACTTTGAATTTGATCCCAACATATACATTCATCAAGCATAGATAATATCAAAATGACTGACCTGTAGTATTCAATGGGGTTTCATCGCCAGGATGATTCGAGGAGGAAGATGAAGAAGTTGGATGGTTGTTAGTAGCACCAGCAGATTGTGTGTCTTGGAACTGAAGACTTTTTCTGAGTTTATTTTTGAAGCACAGTGAACAAAGTCCGTCATTTGATGAACTACCATAGAATCCACATCCAGCTTTACACAAGTTTGACATTCCTTGGTTGCTCTCATTACCCTCCATTTTTTGTTATTGTTCTTTTCAATTCAATAGTGAAAACAAGTATTACAACAATAGTGGCACTATTTTATTTAATTAATACAATAATACTGGTTACGTGGATGAACTTCTTAGATTTGTCGCTGGTTGATATTCTTCTTAATTTGAACTTATAGAAAGAAATGTAAATTAATATGTTGATGTTCTTTCTTCTTTTTTACCAATGACAGTTCCTGAGTTCTATGAAAGAAGAAACTATAATTAAATAAATAAATCATAATTTTACGAAGCGTAGTAATATGAATGTTTCATGAGTAGCACGCAATTCAAAGTATGCCAACTCCTAAAATAACAAATAAAATTTTAAAGTTCGAATCGAAAGTCAATAACTTCAAATTTTTACCTCTGAACGAATTATCCTCGGTCTGGAATGAGAACAGATTCTACAAAAATTCGAATATGGAGCTCCCAGAGTGACAATTTTCGTCAAACAAGTTGAAAAATTTTCGAACGTGGATGTTCCTAAATAAAATCTGCCTAATTTGGACCGTCCGAACTAAACAAAAAAAATAGCTGATTAATGCTTTAAACACAGAATGATAATATAATGATTCTTTATGTTCACAAGTTAAGCACTCGTAAGTAGATTGCGGTGTTTGTTAACAAAGAAATCTTAATTTGGCTGTTGCGCAAATTAAGGGTAATTTTATTTTGTGAACATGTTCTTGCAATTTACGTAAACTTTAACTTCTTTCCTCTTAATTATCTAGGGTGCCAGTTAGGAGCATGGATATATATTATATATATATATATATTATATCCATGGTTAGGAGTTAATATAGTTTTTTTTGTCGTCAAACTTTTTTAATTCATCTCTCCTACAAAAGCAAGCCTGAACTAATCCCTAATTTTGAAAACTGCGTGCCTGACATGACGTCGTCCATGTTCATGGAAATAATTTTACCTAACCCTACAATGCCCGAACCGACCTGTGTTCGCTTATCCTCACCCCGGGTAGGCCAAGGTTACCAACCATCCTCCTCTTTTTAACAGGGTTGTCCTCCCACCTTTGTTAAATTTTGCTAAAAGTCCTCCCTTCACATAATTTTTATTCAAATGTAAAACATAACCGTTCTTTTAAATTTGTATAACGCACTATTATAAGTATTCCATGTCTATATGAAGTATAGTTTGAACATTTACCAGCATTCTCTTGGATGAATTTAAAAAAAATTCCAGATTGGGATGAAATTTTTCAGACAATACCTTACTTAAAAACTGTTGATATCATTATTGATGATTCGAAACGCATTATTCAATATTCAAATTCAAGAAAATTTTTGATTGGAAATCAAAATGAGATTATTTTAAATGAAAAGTTTATAAATTTCAAATGGGTTAAATATTTTGAAAAGTTGAATAATTGTGAAAAAAAATCAGAATTTCTCAAGGTGTGTCAATTTCTTTTCAATTCCACCTCATAATTCCTCAGTTGAAAGAATTTTCAGTTTAATTGATGCTTAATGGACAGATGAAAGAAATCGGCTATCAGTTGATTCAATCAAAAATATAATTTTAACCAAATACAATTTTAATCTGAGTTGTAATGATTTTTATAGCGAAATTGTTAACACAAATTTTTTGAAACAAGTTTCAAAAACAGAGAAATATAACGCCTAATTTTTTTATTGATTTTCCATTTGGTTTTTGTTTGATTTCATTATCACAAAATTCCAAGTATTTCTATGTCGATACAAATTTGTCCTTCCCTGAGGTGTGACTGATTTGGTAATCCTAACCCCGGGGCACTGTCGCCACTAGATCCTGCCACCTTGCACTAATTAACAAAAACGGAGAATTAAATAATATATTTCATCAACATTAAATAACAAATCAATGTGAGACAGACATTAATCTTCTTCTTGACTTGCATTGGTGATATTTTTCTTTCACAATTAACTACAAATGTAACAACACACATACGAATATATATATATATATATATATATACACACACAAGTATATATATATATATATATACATATATATGATATATACACTCACAGATAAATAAACTGCGTTTCACATACGGCGGCAGGCATTACCTAAGAGGTTATTGAAGGAAGGAAGAAACGCTTGCACAGCCCTGTTTGATACATTACAGAGATTCATGCGAATGCTTGCACGTATGCTCAAACAAGCTTGCGTACCCAGGAACATCAATTCAGACAATTTAAGTAAAGATACATATTCACACACCTATAAAACATACCCATAAATTTATTGTTTATTGTCTTGAATTAACTATAAACTGACAATTAAACCTTTATGAAACATAAAATTTGTAGTTGAAACAACTGAAAAAACATAAAATGAAACAACTGAAAGAGAAATTATAGAAACGGCTGACGATAAAAAACGAAAAGACAGTTTGAATTTTTTGCAGGAGTATGAGGCAACTAACTTTCTTTCTCGTTGTCAATTGTTCAAACATGATTGAATGATCTGATACACAAACAAAAATGTATAAATAAATAAATGAATCGAAAGAAGACAAAGAATATAATATGATTGAGGAATGATTGACATGTGTGAATGAACTGAAAAGAAGAGGAATTATTAAGAATATAAAACCATTCAAATACACATTGGCAATAGTAACAACATCGTCGCGTCATCCTTCATTCAAAGATTAATTAAAGTGGAAAGTAAAGCATTCAACGTCAAATTTTTCATAATAGTTATTGCTCTCCACATGTAAAATGAAATCGTGCAACAACCGAAACATACCAAACACATGCACCCAGTTAAACAAACTCCAAGTTACAAGCCGAAGGGATGGTTGAGCCAGCCAGAACTGAACATCAGCTTCTAAGAATCATCACAATAGATGAACGAAAACTGAAACATCAAACGCTGAACACTTTCGCTAATTATTTCATGATCGTAATAACTATTATAATAATTAACGTTCAAACCATTTATTAGCTCCCATTGAAACTCCACGTTCAACAAAAACTCAACCAACAAAACATGAAGAACAGAATGTAAGGGAATAAATGGACTAAACGTCAAAGAGAATCCAGAGAATTTAAAAAATAGCGCGATAGCCACTTGAAAAGTTTAATCAGGGAAACACTCAGAACACAGGACAAGAAATTTAGCCTACTTTTTATTACACAACAAGTCACACGCCCTCCTCAACTTATCTCACCACTAACTCCAAACTCAACTAAATAGTCATACTCAACTAAAAACACACACGATGAATGAAAATTCGGAAGGAGAAACGTTAAAAAACCTAAATACAACCAGTAAATGAAATATTGGTACACAGCTGCTGTTAATATTTTCATTTTATGGATAAAATCATGCAACCAAATAAAAAAAATCAGTGAAATGTGTATAACCCCGCGCACAAACATACAAAGACATATAAACACCCACAAACTTAAATATTAATATAACAAAATACTATTTTTAAAAACATTTAAAAAGATTGATGTATATGAATAAATGCCAAAGAGAGTAGAAAAGATTTTAACATCATAATTTCAGATTGTCATGTCGTAAGTGTATAGAATAGAAAATGAGTTTGACGAGACACACTGATACGAAAATATTAAATCTGTCTTTTTTGAAATGCGGGGATTGCAAACTGAAACAAATAATAAAACTATGTTGGTGTAGTCAATCAAACAATCAATCAGTCAATCGACCAACCAACCAACTAATCACTAAACCAACCAACCAACCAACTAATCACTAAATCAACCAACCAACCAACCAACCAACCAACCAATCAATCAATCAATCAATCAACCAACTAATCACTAAACCAACCAATCAATCAATCAGCCAACCGACTAATCACTCAATTACCTGAATATTCAACATTGTTGTTGGTTGGATTAAGAAGCAATGAATTTGAACACAAGAACAAAATTGTCCACAGTCTAATCTACAGACTTGTTCATATGAAAAACAAACGAACGAATGAATAAACGAACGAACAGATAAACTAACATCATGAATACAAGAAAATTAATTAGTTAAATGTTACATCTCAAGATGTACCTATATAATTACAGTGAAAGTACTGAATGACAAATAATTATATGTACATACATATATATATATATATATACATATATATATATATATATATATATATATATATATATAATTAACTATGATTAACTCGTCACCTATTTGTAAAAACAATATTACATTAAGAATAAAATTAGCAATATTAACATGAGATCAGACGGTGAAACGCAGCCATCGTGAATGGCGATTATTTGAAACCCCGCTTCCCATAAAAACGTTTCAACCAACCAAAAATCTTGCCAGATAAATGAGAACTAAAAGAAAAAGATGGAGAACGAACAAGGGACTGCAACACAGGACCATTTTCAATCACATTTGCAAAAAATAACGATTTATAATTGAACTATCATGCTGGTTTGTTACTAAAAGTGACATTAACATTGGCAAATTAAAAAACTGAAAACATTAGAAACAAATGATGATGTACACAACAGACAAGAAAAATTTGCAGACAAATCAAATACAATTCCTACATAAGGACTACAGTGACTGATGTTTATTGCATGGGAGCCAGCAAGTGGAAAATAGTTAGCAGCAACAATGAGCTGGAAATAATATGCTGGCCAGTCAATCCAATTAGTAATCTTCAGATATGATGATTGATTGTTAATGTTCAGATTGAATGAAATTAAAAAATGTAAATGAATTGATGCATGCATTAAATGTTTGTGCATGAATGCTTTTGTGAATGAATAGCTAATTGGCTTACCTACAAAGTACACCAACGAGAAATGGGAAAAGATGATGAAAAAAGAGCCCCATACATGCACGAATTAAATGATTGAGACACATCAACAACACAATTTCCATTGAATTTGTACCCTACCAGCGTAAAAACTAACAACTTCTAACAGTTTTTATCTTGTGTTGATGATGATATATTTATATAACATACATACATATAACATATACAAATTATTGAGTTTAAGAGTACAATCATTGAGGTGTATTGTCGTTGGTAATAAAACTTCCTACATCAACATCATTGCAAGAAGCACTTGCACGGGATGCACCAACACTGACATCAACATCATTAATGTCAATAGTATTGTTAAAATTATCGTCAGTGTAGCAGTGATAATTATTATTATTACTATTAGCATTTATTGTATTAGTAGTAGTAGTAGAAGTAGTGGTAGAAGTAGTAGCAGCAGCGGCAGTACACAGAGCAATTGACATGTTGTCACTGTGATGGTCTACAGATGTGCCAACAACATCAAAGAGGCTAGTTGTTGTTGTTGTTGTACCTTGGATGTTGTTTTTAGTATTGATATTATCAGTATTTTTAGCAATGTTCATGTCGTTCGCATTGTTAGCATTAGCATTTTTTTTACTGGAATTACTGAAAGCATTGTCGTCGATTGTGTTAATATTAGTTATGTTAGTGATACTAGAAGAGTTGATAATTTTATTGTTGACATTTAAATTATCAATCTCAACAATTGCACTGACAATAGTTGTAAAATTAGCATTGTTCTCAGAAGTAATTACTATAGTATCAACGGAGCTCATAGTAGTATTTGTGGTAGAACTGGTAGTGGTGGATGTAATCAAGCCCCCGGAACTGACAACGACAAGAACAGTACTTCTGCATGATGGTGTCGTCGCATTATTACTGACATTATTCTCCAAGATCACATTGGCAGATGCACTGCTGATCATTGCTTTGCTTGCTGCAGCAGCTGCTGACTCAGATGACGACGACAGTGACGTAGTTGTCACTGCAGCTGCTGGACTTGCATTATTTAATAGGCTCTTGAAGAGTTGTGAGTTTAAGAAACGAGGGTAGGAATCTCGTTGCATGAGAGTAAAAATTTGAAGTTGTGCATCATCAAATATCTCCTTCGTCGGGTTCACCATCTGTGCATTTATCACCTCCCGCACTCGTGAGTCCAAACTGACCTGGCAATGTGGTGGCAGTGATATAAAAGATAAATCAAAAATTTTTTACTTTCCTATTTAAAATATATCCAAATCAATATTTTATAACTTTTTTCTTTAAAATCTAAAATGACTTGTTCAAAATTTTAAAATTTGAATTTCCACAAACTTCTTTAGGTGACAGAATGGATATGTAATCTTCGTATATTATTCGTGCCTTCTCTTCTCTCGTTCGACAATCTTTAACTTTTCTATAATCTTCTATGGCAAGCCAAAACAACATATTTTCTTCACTGTACTCTGATTTTAAATAACCCCTAAAAACCTGCCTTCCAGCTACAAAATGAGTATTCCAAAATTTAATTTTTGTTCCAAATAAGTTGCATTGATATTAAAATAATGATTGATTAGAAATAAAATACAGTTGCTAACTGTGACTCCGCATTATCCTCTCGAATGAAGATCGCCATCCTTCCAATTCATCCAAAGGCAGTCTATCATATTATTTTAATTTACACCAAATAGTCATTTTATAGAAATAATAATTGTATAACTTCTAAAATAGATTTTGATATCACTAACGATAAGTTAGGCGTTTCAGAATGCTTTTTGGTTTGTTGAGTAGAAGACTGCTGGGCATTTTTTTGAGAATATGTGACAGATCTCCTTGTTGGTAACCTAAAAAAAACAATTTCCTCCAATTAACAGTTTACAAATGTAATGCCTTTTAGCCTAAATCGTGCATGTGAATAATGATGAAGATATAACAAATCTAAAAAACACAAAGGACGAAATTAAAAAATGTTTGAAGTTTTAAAAATGTCCTAAGCAAAATTACAAGTGTAAGTAAACACTGAAAAAGATTTTTAAAAGGAAAAGAAAAATTATGAATACCTAGAGCAGCTGGAACACCAATGAAAACAGCACGTGCTGGTCATATGATTTCTTCTGGATAGATCGGGGGATGGGATTTGATCCTGAGTGGTTAGTTCTGCAGTGAGATGCAAGCCTCCCACATGCGATGAATCTATCTCCATCAATGAAATTGAACAATGAGAAGCCATTCTGTACTTTTTTTTAAATCAAAATAATCCTAAATTATTGAATCTGTATTTATTTTATAAAAATATAGAGGAATTACTTTGAAAGACATTATCACAAAAAAATTGAAACAGTCTTTCGTTAACAATCGTTTAATTTAATCTTAAAAAAAACACTCAACCACCTAATGGCCTAACTCTCTCTCTCTCTTTCTCTCTCTCTTTAACTCATGCTAAAAATGATTCGCTTTGCTTAATTGAATCAATAGCAGCTTTTATTATAATATTCTTAATTAATAAATATTTATTGTTGCTCTTACACTTTGCATGGCTTAGCCTTACTTTAATTTAGTGTTGGTCTTATTTCATTTTATAGTGCACTAGGCCACTCTGTTTGCATCTTAAAATAAAATACAAACTTTAAGATTACTGATCAAATATATTATTATGTTTGACAGTATTGTACGAGAAGTTTGATCACATCATTTATAAATGCTCATTCACAAAGAATAAACTTGAAGTTTGATTATTAATAAATAAAATCTTAATAAGATAATAACTTTCATCTTAATTTAATTAGAAAAGTAAAAACTAAAATATAAAGAAAAACATAAACAGCTTATCAATAATTAATTATTAATGTATGTATATGAATCAATAACATTAAGAATAATTAAACAAAAATTTTAATAGATATAAAATTTATAAATAAATAACCTTTTAGTCTTAGTTTTATTAATCAATGACAAAATAATAACAAAATCCAAAATCCTTTAAACAAACATTGAAGTTCAAAATAAGAATGCAGTAATTAGTAATTTGGACATAAGTTGAAATTATTATTCAATTCAATTGATTGTTGATTCCATTTTTAATTGGATTTAATTAATTCAATTCAATTTGAGACTAAATTAGTTTTAGTTAATAAGTTAACAGAATTTTTTAAAATCTACTAAACTTTAATTTTAATAGCTTAACTTTTTAAACTAAGTTACTATAAATTACTGAACAGCTATACCAACTCAAATCAAAGTCAGTCTCAAACTAAACTTGTCAACCTATAAGTTTGAAATGTTGAACAGCTATTAATTAAGAAGTTAGTTAGTTATTTATGATTATATTAGTTAATTAAGTTAAGCTGCTTCCACCATTCATGAACCATGATCATGATGGGATGATCATTTCACCTCTTTATCTTTCACTTTCAAGTTTCATTGGATGTTTTAATTATAATTTAAATTTTAAAATAAAGAGATGACAAACGCCAACAATAAAAGGGTAGAAGAACGAACGCTCGAGGAAACAAAATTAATCAATCTTCTCGCTTCAATTGTAACTTGTAAGCCATAAATAAAAATTAATTAAATCACTTGTCAACAGAAAAATCAACAATGGATACAACAAAAATGAAGGAAGCCGCCATTCTTGTTTTCATTCTAGTACCCACACCCTACCCTCTCTTGTATTCTTTTTAATTTTATTTCGCCGATATTTGTGTATATTTATTTTGAACAAGCTTGCAAACAATTCTCTTCTCCAGCCATCTTGCTTGCACAGCAAACGTCTGCCTCCTTGCATCAACTACATGCTTATCATAATCTATGCAAAATTCCGCATGTGCTCGCCATCTTTAAAAAGAGATGTAACAGCAATTAGGACGCATATCAAATATCAGAAAATTTGCATCCTACTAACGGATTTAAGCACCACAATCACCAGTCTGGGGTGTAAATTTAAAGACCAAGAGCTTTAAAAATGTTCAACATTTTTTAATCTAAATGCTCTATTACTATTCCTTTTATTATCTTACATGATTCTTAAACAGATAATTAAAAGAGGAAATTACTATAGATAATCCGACGGGGGCAGTTTTTTGTCACATCATGCGGAAGAAAAGAATAGAAAATCTAACAACTACCGGAAAAACTGCAGGGAAAAAAGATTGCGGTCAACCACGAATAACATTCGTGAAGTAATAGTATCACTTGTTGAATATCACCGCTTTTCAACTACTGCCAAGTGTTAAAGATGGGTTTTGTGGAGGTCGATGGTCGCCAATGTCCTGAACGAAAAAGGCACAAGAAAGAAGATTCTAAAACTCTTAATGTTTCTCATAGTTTTTTCTAACATAACGTAACATAAACCGAAAATAAAGAGGCGTGAACTGACGTTCTTATGCCCCCGCAAATGAAAAGCTTTTATTGTAATTGATTTTATTGTAACTCGCCCTACCATGGTCTTCCTGATTCTACACTCTATCCTTAATAATAATAACAATAATAATAACAGTAACAATGTGCTGTGATGCACGTGTGTGCATTGAGTCAGGTTATAGTAGTAACGTGACTGTAACAGCTTTAAATTATTCATCCAATAATTGAATCTATACAGTTTTTTTAAATATTCAAATCTTTTGCATCAATTGAAACCTGGGATAAAGTTATTCTAATTGTTGGCTATACGATTTGTAAAAAACTTTTTTCGGCAGTTTTCTTTTTTTTACTTTTTCCATTTGTAATCTTTTATTATGTCCTCTTGTTCTTGGGTCAAACATGAATATCGGTTCATTGTGTCAGTTTATCACATCTGTACCACTTGCAAGTTTGTACATCTGAATTAGATCACCTCTGGTTCTTCCTTTTTTCTAACGTTGTTAAACCAATCATATTTAATCTGTGATGGTATAATAAGTTTTTTAGTTTACACATTTTGGTTACTCTTTTCTGAACTTCTAACTTTTTTATGTCTCCGTTAGATATGGATTTCAGACTGTAGCCGCATACCCCAGGTGCAGTTTTACCAGAGATGTATAAAGCAGTTTTAGTGATTTTTTGTTTAAAGTAAAGCTTTTAACTCTGCTACTCGTCTAGTTGCACGTGTCCCTTTCTTTTCTCATATATCTCCTTATCTTGTCCTCTTGCACTCCTCTTTATAAAATATTGATCTGTTCTTGGACCATCAACTTTCATCATCAATGCTTCTACCCTGAAAACTCTTCATAGCCCAAATCAGATCATCAAATACACTGATGACACTTACCTTATCATCCCATCTTCCAACACAAACACCATCCAATCAGAGCTTGAGTTCCTCATCGTCATTCATTTTGTGCTCGTTGTTCCGGCCGGTGTTATTTCAATTATTAAATTAGAAATTCATGGAATTCTTCTGATTATAATTATATTGTAAATAAATTGCTCTCTAGTATTGCTATCATCTAATTTTAAACATGAGATTAAAACGGCCAATTTAGGTTGCCTTTTCCACGGGTGCAGTGCGGATGAGCGGTGCGGTTGCGGACGTGAACCCTTCGGTTGCGGTTTGGAAAAATCTTCTCTGCTTGGGGTTCTACTCTATAGGCAGGATTTTTTAGTACCTTTTTGCTCTAGTATGGCTAATATTGTTGATGGAGTCAATCGAACTTGATATCATCGATACTTCCAAGCCTATTAGCAGCGAGTAGTTTACAAATTCAAGCTGGTCATTTGTAGGAGTCCAATTGTTTTTAAATGACGTTTTTCTCCGAGTATTTATGAAATTAATTTGTTTTTACATGGACACACTGTTCATAACATTAATTTAATTTTTTGGTAAATAAACTGAAATTATCATCTACAATAATTTACAATTAATAAAAATTACAGAAAGTAAAAGATTAATTAACGGCATCTTAAAAACTGAAAATAATAGCAGGTTGAAAGAGCAAAAAATCGGTCATTTATAACAAACACACTCATTTGATTGAGATAATATGCAATAAAACCGCAATATAATAGAAAACCATGCGTTTCACGATGTTTGCACAAAGAAACAATATCAATATAATGAATTAAATAAAATTGATTATTACAGCAAACAAATTTCAATAGTTATAAAAGCTAAATGTAACAAATGTACGACGAACGAACACGGTAACCGACAAACAGCCTTTAATAAAAAATAATTTTAAACATTGCTCCATGAGAATTAATTCATAACTCCAGATATTAAAAAAAATTACATCAACTGCTTACGATGAAATTTCAAAAATAAAATGTAAGCTCAAGGCAGCATAAATCCTCTGCCCAATCTAGCTCGGTTCCTTGGATCCGAATGGCCTAGTAGTGGCATGGATTGTAACAATTCATCCAACAACTGAAGAGGCCTGTGTAGTTGAATTTCTATCCAACATGGAGTCTCTTTGATCGTTCGACGAGGGTAGTCTAGTCCCCAGCCCTTCACGAAACTTAACTGGAAAGAACAAAGCTTTCGAAGATCGTCTACGCATATCCCTGCGGCAGCCGATAGGCCTTGAAGTAGAGTAGTTATAACAAATCAGGTTTTTTAAATATAAAACGACAACAGTTGCGACAGTTATAATGTGTAACACCATTTTATTCAGTAACCATACTGAAGGGCAAGCAAATATTAATGCTGCAAACTGCACAACAACAAAATGAACATGACATATTTCTCACTTATGGCAGGGGCGATGCCACCAACACCATGCATACCCTGTACATTGCCTGCTACAGCAGCTGCTTGGGCAGCTATTGCAGCTAAGGAGCTTGCTGTCTGCTGTTGAATTTGCATGTGGCATTGCTTCAAATCGAAGACCTTACAAACAAAACAATGATTTGTAATGAAGATTAATTAAAATTTATTTAAATTAAACTTATTATTTGTTTAAATCACAACTTTTATAGAAAGAAAGAAATAATAATTCGAGAAATTGATATACCTTGATATGAGCATCATGATAAATTTTATGGACAGCATCACCAGGTGCTCGACCATGCACCTGGTCCAAATAGAAACTGTTTGCAAAGACACTGTGGTTGCCCAGACACCTGATCCAGACATCCCCCTCCCCCTGCAAGATCAATTGAATTCCCTTTCCAATGTATAACCTGCAAATTTAAAGAATATTACATTATTATATACTATATTACATTATATTAAAAACATGAAAAACTTTTGAATCAGAAAATAAAATCTTTACAAAATTAAAATTTTTAGTTTGGAGATGGAAACTCCAATTTTGTAAAGCTACCCTAAACTAGCCCTAACCACCTTGCTCTCTCGCTAGCTTCTGTCCTGTGGACGTTGGAAAGTTTCCCTAGGCAGAACCTGTTGCAACTGGACGGGTCGGTGTAGCCATCAACAATGACTGATGGGTATATGGATGGCACCTTGAATGTCTCACCCACTTGTTGGTCCAGCTCAAAGTAAGTTATTGTTGACCAATACTCTGGGGCTGATTTCAATTCAGTTCATGAGGTTATGATGCATCTACCATCAAACTACTACTACTACTATAATCACTCGACCACCACCACTACTATTGCTAATATTGCTACTTACCAAAATAATTATCAATTATCAATCATGTCAGCATCACGGTAAACATCTTGACAATGAAGAAGACTAACGTGGCAAACTGGATAGAGGAGCTTGCAACATGCTTGAAACATGGGATGACCCTGGAGGGAAACCTGAGAGCCATCAAGATACAATAAATCATTCATAAAAGTTGAAAATTGAAAAAGTTGCAAATATTTTAATTGCGGTGTGTCAGACAATAAGAATAGGAAAGAAATTAGTAAAAATGATAAGCTATAGAATCTTTATTTTCTTCCTACTCTATAATGAAAGCACCTAACAAACAATTGAGTAAAAAAGATTAATTAAGTCAAATAATTTTTAAAATATAAATAGATAAATGTTGAAACTACAAATATTGAAACAAAATACCAAAGACCCAAAATAACATATAAGGTAAAAAATATGAGACAATCAAAACTAACAATAAGAATGTTGGTGGGCCAAAGCAGGCTGCTGTTGATGTTGTTTTTGATGTTGCTGATGTTTTTGTTGACGTTGTTGATGATGTTGGATGTTGCTGTTGTGGTCTAGGTAAGATGTTGTTGTTGTTGATGACGACGATGATGACGACGATGATGACGACGATGCAACTACTTGTGTTGATTCATTATTATTATTGTTGTTGCTGTCATTGTTGTTATTACTGCAGATGTTACTAGTGTTATTTTTATTATTATTATTATTTATGTTGTTATCATTCCAAGAATCACACCTTCCTTGGCAACAGCTGTCTAATGACGTTGCAGTTTGAATGTTATAAGCTGTCGACTCGACACTCTTCTCATCTGATTGGTTATTTGAATGTTGTGTACCGGCCCCAACTGACGAAGAAGGAGGCAAATTTTGCTGCTGCTGCTGATGATGATGAGAAGGATGATGAAGATGATGAAGATGTTGATGGTTAATGTATGATTGATGAGATGCATGTTGTTGATGGTGTAAAGACATTGGCATATTACTGAAGTTGATTATATGCGGTTGTTGCTGCTGCTGTTGTTGATGATAGAGCATTGCATGGCTGTTGTTACTGCTGTTGAGTTCGACTGGCTGCGGCACAAACCTCGAATTGTAATGTGACAACTCTGCTGCTGGTGGAATGTAGTTATAAACTTATTACATCATAGTTTACTTGGCTGAAAAAATTCATTAAAAATTATATTTCATCTAAATTACTCATTAAATAATCAAACTCTTTGAATAACAACCATTCAGATCCTATGCAAGCAGTACATGTATATTAACTAATTTTTACTTTATTGTTATTATTATTTATTTATTTATTACTAAATGAGGATGAGTAAAATGTATAAAATTCATCCAACCACTGGCATAGAATGCACTTGAAGTATTTAAGGTTCTTTCCATTTTGCATGAGGAAGCAAAATCGTTAGAAGGTGCTAGAAATGTTCAATTTCATTATTTTAAAAATCTTTCTAATATTATATTAATGAGAATTCTAAAAAAGTAAGCTGACAGAGATATGGGCATACAAACTTACAATTTGGATCTATGCTTAGTCCGCTGAGATCTAAAATGAAGAAATGAAAATAAAAATTAATGAGCGTTTATGCTCCACTTAAAATATTATCTAAATAGATAAAATAATAAAAATTATAAAGAAACCTATTCCAGGGCAGACTACTCTTTCATAATGATACGGGTTTATACAGACACTGTCTTGTTTCAAATCGAAAGCATACTGACAATATTTGATGTGCTTCAGTTCATTTTTATGAAGATCTGGCCATCTCCATATGCGGGAGTAAACAACATGGGGAAATCCTTTTCGACCAGCAACCTAAAATAATTTCCCGGTTTAGTTTTTACTCTTTAGTAGTGACAATGCAATGAATTAATTATTAATATTGATATTTAATTTCAATAAAATAAATTAAAAATAGAATTGAATAAAAAATTGTGATTTAGTAAATCTGTTTCTAATTAATAATACTTGTAGTCGGCCATCAAGAGTTCTTGGTATCGTGACACACTTGGTTGGATGTGCCCCACTCGTAGTCACTGCGGTAATCAAACTGTCCAACTCATCTCGTTTCTCTTTCAGCTTCTTCACCAAACTTTCTATGGCTCTTTTAGAGAAGGATTCACTTTCACCGCCCTGCCTGTGACACATCAAACTGTGCACGATGCTTAGACAGGCGTCCGCCGAAGTAGGGGCGGACTGCTGTGACAGTGAAGGAGATTGTTGCTGATGCTGCGGGGCTGGCTGTGGCTGTTGTTGTGGAGTGGGAACTTGTGATAATGGAGGAAGTGCATGGCTTGGCGGTGGTGATAATATCGATGTCATTTGACTAATTTTTTTCAAAAATGAAGTCAAAAAGGTAGCAAAATGAATAATTTCAATCTAATTCAAGAGTCTCTAGCCAAACGCTTAATAAATCCTAAACTAACTAAACTTAATTAAATAAAAAATTCAACATCTGGTACAACTATTAGCCAAAATATTTAAGAAATGTATTTTGTTAACCTGGCTTTACTTTTCATCAGTAGTTACGAAATTTTAGTTGTTTCTGGACAGCCCTGTGGTTTGACTTTTTCTAATGTGGCGTTGAGTCATTTGACGAACGTAACGTTCGCGACGGTTCGAACTCAGCGACGGTGAGCCTTATGCAAACGGTAGATTATGAAAAAATCCATTAAATAAATATACTTAAAGGTTTTATGAGATGAAAAATTATTTATTTGATCCTTATTTATAACATTTTAACTGTATTTAGATTAAAAAGTGCACAAAACAATAAAAAATGTTTTTTAACTCCATCATCAAATCTTCATATTAATTAATACATCAACGGTAACGAGAAAGTTAAAAAATCGCCAAAAATCCATTTATGTGTGCAAAACTGTCTACCACTTCGGGCACACTTCCAAATATTGGATTGATCGCGTCACCCATACATTTCTAAATTTGAGTCACCTTTAACGAGAAAGTTAAAGAATCGCCAAAAATCCAATTATGTGTATTTCAAAAATACTTGTATGTTATAACAGACAATTTTATCCTCTATAACACCTCATAAAACAAATTAGGATGGAACGCGTCACCTATATATCTTCAAACTGAATGCGTTTTACGCAACACTGCTCTACTTACCACGTAAAATGTTGTTCAATAAAAACACCGCTCGCGTTAGCCATCATCAGTCTTCAACAACAGTTGTTCACTCCTGCACAACGATGAAGTGCGAGTCGGTTTTTGCAGAACACCTACCTATAGATTATAGAACTGTCTTAATTTTTATTTTCCTAAATTTTACTGGCATAATTAAATAAAACTAAAGCAGGTTCAATTAAACTAATTTTTGAATGTAAAAATGAGTTAAATTAAAAGTTATGAATTGTTGTCTTGATAAAATAAACAGATAAATCATCAAAAAATGTTGGGTGCCTCATTTTACCTATAATAATGGAGTTTACGTATTTTAATTTTTAATATTGTGTTTTTTAACAAAATGTTGTACATAGTACATAGACCACAATCCAATGAATAACTTATTATGTAGTTTATTAATAACAAATATCGCTATCCTCAGTAGTTTAGTTCTAATTAGTAATAGTGATTTGAACTGGTGGTTTTTTAATAGATTTTTATAGAACCTAATATCGAGATCCTGAGCATGAAGATGTATAATTTGATAATCAATGGAAACCTTGAGTGATTGACAACGTTCGCTATCGTCGTCATAACGGCGGATAATTTTTTTCAGTCTGATTGTGATCTGATTCCTGAATGCTTGGCATAAATGTTTTTTGCGGTTTATTTTTGTTACATTACCGTGAAATAGTGCTTGGATCTTATTGGAACTATTAGAGGTGGTATTGCTATTACAAGTTACACATGCAACAAAATGTGGTTTGAACTTACACAGTAACTATCATCCAGTTATTTATAATTTTACTAATATCAGTTGGGTAAGAGAAATTTCTCTGTATTGCGTGTGTGTTTGTGTGTTTTTAAAAATGCTCTACAAAGAAATGTCAGAAAATAAATTCTTTCTTAAATTTTATTTTCTCAGTATTTTATCAACTTATCATATCTCTTCATTCTTATCACTCAAGACTGATAAATACTTAATATTTTAACATGTCTCCTCTTGTGATACTTGTTGGGTCAACATTATTACTGAGAATATTTATTTTTATCATACATAGATTGAAAAAGGGATTAGTGTTTAATCTTTAATTAAATATTCCTCATATTAGCTACAACAGTATATGTAATTTTATTGTGTTTTCTGGTTATTGAAATAGAAGTCCACTTTATTAAAAGAATTTGAATTTTCAGATTTTATTTAAATTAAAGAAACGAGCTTTCATCAATTTTAACATGGTTAATTTTTTCATTTCAAAATAGTTGTCTTAGTATTAATGAATTAATGGTGTTATACATGATGTTTTAAAATTTTAAATAATGCTTATTCATTTTTGGCAAAATAAATACGCTCTTTCACTTTACTGACAGAACCGGTCATTGAGAATTGTGGTTTCAAATGCCTCAAGTGAAGTTGTCAACAGTTTCCTGCCAATTTTGTGTCATGGAGATATCTTTGGAAGGCACCAAGTCAGACACCCTTCCATTCTCTTATTCATTGCTATTCATACATTAATATTTACATTATTTTTTAGTAATTCTAATTTTCATTGTAATGTAAATGTTTTTAAAATGAAAAACATATTATAAGAAATATTTTATTCATTAACTGAAAGCAATCAATAATCGATACAACAGCCAATATCCTTGGTACTGTTTGAATTCAAGCCTCTGTTGAAGTTAGTGGAATCACTTAAGGAAGACCTTTTGGAATGTTGTTATCCATTGCTTGCAGGTTTGAATGCCTGTCCAGTTCCATCTCCATCATTTTTTCTTCTTGATGTCATATCTTTCATCCCATCACCAATATTTTGTATTGCATGTGCAATAATTTATGTACATGTTTGTGTGTGTGTATGTGTCAGTCAGTGAAATTTTGTGTTAACAATTCTTTCAATCGTTTTATTATATTTAATAAAGCCTATTGGTGTTGTTAATTATTAGATTTTTTGATTTTTAACCAAATTTATTAATGAAAATTAACTAAGTTTAGCGTTGGTATAATTATTATTATTTTGTGTGACAGACGTAACACTCACCCAAGACATGTCAAAAGCATTTGAGAATGTTGATGTTGGCATATTGTTTGAACTTGAACAAGATGTCATTGGCTTCAAAAACAATTCTGTCCTCTTTAGGACATATGGCCTTGTGCTTAATCGAGTAGCTCCAAAGAATATCAAGGTACTTTTAAATTAGTCCAGTGTTAAGCTTGTTACTTTCATTTTGAAACATGATAAAATAAGTCGTTTTCTACAGCAGTTTAATTTAAATAAATTTTATAATCAGTAAAATTAACTGACTCCATTTCAAAAAGTTGTTGATTGTTGGGCAAACAGCGAACACCAGTGCTTTCATTTGCAGTTCATTCAGTCCATCTCTGGACCCAAGCAACTTCACATGCCTTGCACATCACCTTAAGCTGGCCGCTGTTTCTAAATTCAAATTTAAAGTTAGTGCTAAGATTCAAAATTTTTTCCCAAGAAATTGCGCACTTAATTTTTCAATATATAGCCATTCTAATCCAAATGAATTGTGTTTGAAAAAGGTGCGAGTTGAATTATAAAAAAAATTATGTGAACCAGGCTTTCAGGAGTGAGGGAAATTACTCCATACAGTTACAACATGTGCAACAACCACAACTCCAACATCAGTTGCAACCAGCGGATAAAGAACAGGAACAACATTTACAGTGTGACAACCCTCAATTGATTGGCACTTGTTGTTCACACTGTCATCTGTCGCCTGATCATTTAATCAACAACAATAATAGTGATGACGACGTCATAAATAACACTAACAATGATATTATTTATGCCAACAAAATAAACAGTAAAAATATCGACGAAGACAATCGTAATATTAACATTGTTAAGAACAATGAATACAGCAAAAATATTGATAGCAGCGGTGATGTCTATGATGTAAATAAAGATAACAGTAGGTTCTACCTCGGCCAGGACGTTTACGTGTGGGGCAGCTGCAGTTGCCCCATTGTCACCATGACAACCAACAAAAACGAAGTAATGGACGTTCTTGTAAGTGAGATATTCATCATGTCGTTCTTTTAAATGTCTTCTCGCGTTCTTCACAATACTCTAAAATTAAAATGACAATAAAAATATTGGATGATTCCTCATTTATATATAAAGACACATTTGTTTTAGTATTTTTAGTACCTAAATATTTGATTATCTTATGTAAACTAAAGCTTTCGACCGAAACAGCTGTAGGCAGGCTGGTTGTGGCAAAAGCAATAGCAGAACATCTCAAATACTGGCTCACGGATTTCAACAACGTAAGCATAATTGGCAACTTATTTGTTCAATTTTTGAAGCTGTTCGTAAGTCGTGAACATTTGCAAAATGTTAATATCAAAATGTTATTATACTATCTCACGTTTAGCATTTCGTTTCCCAAAGTAGGCGGTCGGCTAGAACCAGCTTAAGCTTTATTTTGACTGTTGTAAATGACAGTATTAAAAAGTTAAATTTCATAGAAGTTTACCTTTAAACTGTTTTTGAAATCATTCACTCGCAGGTAGAACAAATAATCATGGGTGTGATCAACTCACAAAATCACTACAATGTAGACAGCAATCTATTCTTCAACTTTCCTGTGAAAAAAATAAAAAAAGACATTAATTACAATAAGAGCAGCGGCAACATCATCGGCAGCAAAAACAATAACTACCTTCTAACTGTTGAAAACTTGACCCTTAATGAAAATATTGTTGAGTCATTGTTAAAATGTTCACAGAAAATGTGCAAAGAAAGAGATTCTGCCATTGTGGATTGCTGGCGAATAGTTCTTCCACATTCCCACTTGTAGCAGACAAATTTGGCTTAATAGACACTTTCGTAGTACACATCCACCTTTAATGGGTTTCCAGAGAAAACAAAAACTAAGAGTATTGGTGTGGAGACAAGTTCATCATAAAGATGCGTTCTCGTTTGTTTGTAGACGATCAAGGTGAAACAATAATGATGCGTTGTTGTGCATATGATGAAATGATAAGAATTATGTTGACGCTGATCCAAGTGATACATGTATTGGTACACGTTCTGTTTAATTTTGTAATTGTTTTGTTCCAACTATTTAACATGCAATAAAAATGTGACTATCAAATACGAGCCAAGCTGCATATGAGGTTAATTTTGCGCAATGGTTTGCCATTCCTAACTAGCTTAAGTTAATTCTGACATTATATTTCAAAAACTGAAAGAATTCTAGATAAATTTTCGAACATCTGAGCATAACCTCTATATACTGCCTGTTATAAATTATAAAAACTACTATTATACGACACATATGCGTATTGTAAACGTACAAACTGCTCATATTTTCCAAATAATGTATTTACAGGATGATAAAATCCCCAAAGAAATTGTTTATCTTTACGAAAGAGAGCTTATTAAATATGTAGATAAAATAAATTTAGTGAACTCAACATAAACTAAATATCAACCAAAGATGTGTATGAATAAATAAACATGTAGTGTACGTCTACGAGTATATATATTCAGCCATAATTTGTATAAGTTTCACACTTCAAAAATAAAAAATGTTTTAAAAAAAAATAAAAAATGCAAAGTTTAGTTGTATCGTCACGTCTGTAATATGCATATGATATACAGTTATAAAAAAAAAACCCAGCATTGCAGTCATTGATCAATTTGCAATTGAAATTTTCAATTTTTCATAAAACGAATTTCAGTCCATTATCAAGTTTGTTCAGTTCATAAACTAAATTTTTATGTTCAGTAAATATTCAGTAATTTTATTCAGTTTTTGCATTTTTGTTTAAATTTATAAGCAAATATATATTTAAACAAAAATGCAAAAACTGAATAAAATTACTGAACAAAATGTAAAAACTCAATTGCAAATTGAACAATGCCTGCAATGCTGTGATATTTTTAAACTGCATATATAAATATATATCAATAATGATCAACCAAACAACACAACAGAGAGAGCAATAAAAATTCTTATCCACATTCTACATTTAATTCATTCCTGATGATGGCATAAGTTGTGTCGAAACGTCGAATCAAATCACTTAACATGACCTTAGGAAATTTACAGAATTTGTTAAACTATAATGATAAAAAGTTAATGATGTATATATATATATCCATACACATATATATATATTGTATAAATTCTATCAAATTGTAGGCATTAATCAATTTAAAGGTTAAATTGATTGATGCCAACAATTCGGTAGAATTCAAACAATACTGTATATATACTGTATATGCATTAATTAAGATTGATTGATTGAATGATATATATATACATATATCGTAACATATGTATATATACACAATACATTACAAGAGCCGACTTGATAAAATTTCTTGAGATGCATAGTTTAGTCATCTGATATAGTTGAGTTAGAAACGAAAGAAAAGATATCTCAATTTTAAAAAATAGACAGATTTAATTAGAAAAAAATAAGCTAGCCGTTGTACCAAACATTTCACATTCAACAAGATGTACATAAACACACACACACACACATATATATATACATATATATATAATATATATATATATGCACGCACAAAGACAACGATTATAAAACAAATATTATGGTGAACATTTTCCATACAACTAAATAATAATAATATAACATTAAAATCAAAAAATAATTTTTATTGTTAAAACGAACTCTTCTTTATTAAGCAACAACATAAACGATGGTAAAAAATATTAAAGTAACTGAAAGTGTCGTCGACTCAGCATAATTTACTTTAATGTCTGTAGTGTGATATGAAGTAGCAAAACATAACAGCTACTTCCCATATTAAGCTACTGTTTTTTGTTTTCCACATTTATAACATGTCTTATTCACTATTGTACATTTGGCTGGCTTTCTGCCAGCGCATAATTTTTTCAAACAAATAAAACTTTTGAAAGTACAAAGATAAACTTCAGTCGTAAACATAAAATAAACCACATGGATACACAAATAAGAGGGACTTCAAGTTTTATGACCAACTTAATTTGAGAAAAAATCAACCTACACATCACTAAATCGATTGATCAACGAGTTATTTAGCGTTCCAATTAAACAACTGACTGAACGATCAACTGGAATTTTAAAAAACCATTCAAAACCAATCAAGCAACTCTATAACAAATCAATGAATGGATGGATTGAGCTTTTCCTTTCTACCTCACGTGTTTTTGTTGTCATTCCCAAAATTTTTTCAGCAAAGATTAAAAGAACCCAAAGCATTACTATCAATACATTCACATTTCCGCTTAATTCATTCTCGACTGAACATTATTGTTATTGTTCGACCCATTGTTATTGCCACCATTGTCCAAACATTGCTGCTGTTGTTGTTGGTGGTGGTGGTGGTAAGCATCATCGCCCATATCTTGATTGTGATGAGATGTTTGTTGCTGTTGTTGTTGATGATGATGAGAGAGATGAGGATGATGTTGTTGTTGTTGTTGCTGTTGTTGGTGGTGCTGATGATGGTGCTGTTGAGAGTTGCCATCTTGGTTTAAAGAAGGTGTGGGTGGAGGCAGAGTGTCACCTGGCTTGCCCCTTTTAAACTTTCGACGGGCGTAGTTGACTTGATGTGAAAACGTTTCGTTGATTGATTTTTCAAGCGGCTCTGGTTGACCATTCTCTAAACAGAACTTTCTCATATAAGCTGAATTGAAAAAAAGCATATCAGCTAACTAACAAAAATTGAACATCAAATTGATTAATTAATCAGCCTGCTCAATCCCTGAAGCATAAATGAAAATCACACAATAACATATAATATATACAACAAAATACAACACAACATATCACAACCAAAGAATAAAGTTTACCTTTACAAACTAAAACTTTTGTTGGGTCCAGCGGATCCTTCGATAGGATGTCATCAGTCGATTTACAATTCAAACCCTGCCCTCTAGATGTTGCCAGCTCCTCCCATGTAAAAACAAGAGGAATTAGGCGTCTAAGAACATACAACTGGGCACCATCTTTCAAAGATGTGGCTTCTTTTAGAATTAACTGAAGTTTACTTTTACTTACCCAGACATTGTAATTAGGAAGCAGCTGGACCTGGAGACCTTTTTCTACGTCGAAGGCTTCTGGCTGATTGTGAGGGTAGGTGATTAGTTTGTGGGTGGATGTTGTATGGGTTATGGTTAGGATTGCAGTGGCATAATATAATTCATGTGATACCACTAGCTTACATGATGAGTTAAACTGATCTATGAATTACAAATTTTTTCTTATTGCTTTACATACTAAAAAAATTTATGATACACACTTTTATGATTGAATATTTTGTAATGTGACTTAATATAAACTTAAGACTGTAGCATTTTTAAATATAACTATGTTCATCAAATTAAACAAATACAGGTTGATAAAATTTAAATTGAGCAAACAAAATGAACAAAATCTGAGAGAGTCACGACAGACTCACCATATTTCCATAGATGGAGCAGTTGTTGGCTGCACTGCTGTTCAGTGGGGTGGCAAATATGGAATGACCATCAAAAGATGAGTTGTTGAATGAACCTACAGTTATAAATTGTGAGAAACAACCAAACAAAATTTATGTATACAATACAACAAACAGCAAATGCCAGATAAAAAAAGAGAACAGCACGATCCTACCTTTCTCGCCATCAGATCCATAGGCATTCATCTTGCCACCATTCATCTCAGCATTGGATTCAATGATGGTGTAGTAGGCCATAAGTTCTCTCATGAATGACATTGCTTGGGCACTGGGGACTGCAGAAGTGAGGGAAGATAATGATGATGGAAAAGAGCAAAATAGTAAAAGATATTATGAAAAAAGAAATGATATAAAAAAATTTTTTTAAATTGTCAAAATGATGAAATTGATCTAATAAGATTATCCAACATTGTTTGAAAAATGTAACAAAATAAGATCTTCGAGAAAACATGAAAAAAAGCATTTAAAGGGTGATCAGTTAACACCAAAAAAATGCCAGATGATTAATCCAAAAATGTATACATATATACATATATTTGAAAATAAGCTTATAAGTGAATTGACACTTGAATAATCTAGTCAACTGGTCTTTTAACGAATTAGCAAATTGTTAATAACAAATTAGCAGATTAGTAAAAAAACAACTAAATTACTTGGTGGGACTCGGTTGTTGGCAGCTCTAAGCTGTTGTATTTGTTTCTCAAGATCATTGTTTGTGTGATGAAGTCGTTTGTTTTCCCTCGATAATATGTCTACAAGGTTACGAGAAGTTGGAGAATGGGCCATTTCATCTTCCAGCCCCTTTTCTGCATGGCCAGTAACAAGTATTAGTGATATGCCAAATCATTATTTACATCTGCTGTCTAAGAATAAGATCAACAAGTCAATAGTTTTTTTTTGTACAATCTATTTTTCATTTAATTTTAAGAGATAATGACTGTTGCTAATAAATTCCTAATTAGATACTATAAATAGAAAGCATCAACAATGCACATGTGTTTATCAATTAAATTTAAATATCACCTATAAGGAAAAACATCTTACCAAGACTATTATTTAAATTGCTGTCATCTTCTGATAGTTTATCATTATTGCTGGTTCCAGTATAGTGAGATTTTTGTTTGCAGCCACACGAGCACTTAGATACTTGTTCCTTTAGAGTGATATTTTCTTTTTTCAACTGCAATAATTCTGACTCTATGTTTGTTCGGAAATCAGTTAAAGTTTGCTTCAAACCAACAACCTTTGATTGCAAAACATTAAATAATATACAAACTTTAGACTATAGAGAAAGCATTGATTAAATTTAAAAATGCATTTAAATATTTTTAAACGAATGATATGTCCATATTAACCTCTTGCCGAATTGATTCATACTCTGATTTGGAAACAACAATTGTCGAGTTTGAAGGATCAATAGGAAAAAAATTAGGTTGCAGATGTAAATAAGGACTAGAATCTTGCTGCGGACCCCCAACGCTATTTGCACCATCAATCCTCTGTCGTTTGCCATCCATTTGCAATGGTTGTTGTTGCTGTTGACTTGGTGACAACATTCTCTCTGCCATTTTTTGGTGGTGAGAAAGGAAATCCATTGGCTCAATGCCATGCATTTGCCGGGAATGTTGGAACATCATCTTCTTAATGGTCCAGATGAATGATTAAGCTTGGTTATGCCAAGTTTTTCTTTTGATTGATTAGATTAGTTTAGTGCAAATTTGACTTTAAAACAATTTTACATTCCCTCACTGACCAAGTGCTCAACATGAATTTCCCTTGTGTATATGATCCTTTGATTTTATGCTTAAATTAAAGCCTTAAAGTAAACAAGAAAGCAATATGAGTCAAGGGTTTTTTTCTTGTACAATTTATTTTTTATTTAATTTATGAATAAATTGATAATAAATAATAAATGTGTTGTTTACCTACCTTTACTTTACAATGTACAACACACACCAAAAATAATAATTAACATTTCATTTGCGATCGGTTAATTAAATCTAAAAATCGCGGTCTTACATTTTATTTTGTTTTGATTCAAACAAAATGCAATAGTTAAAATGTTAAGAAATAGTTCAATAAATCAAGAAGTTTCACTTAAACTCGAAAAAATCCTCTAATTTGACAAAAAACCGGCAAAATTCAAAACTAAAAAAATCAATTAACAAAGTAAATATACAGATCGTAAATTTCAATTAATAAAACCATAGAAGTAGTCGATTATACGAGAGAGTTAACGAAAAATTAATTAACAAAATGCACAAACATGGAGGCATATAAGCAGCGGGCCGGAGAGAAGGCTAACAAGAGCTACAAAGAGCAGCACAATGAATAAGAGCTACGCGCACAAAGACATATCGGCCATCTTGCTTATCTTTTTATTTCTTTTTCAGTGTTTTTGTCTTGCCATATTACTCTATAAAAGATTTTTTGTGATTTTTGAGCATAGTTGACAGCGACAATGATTATAACGCCTAATCTTTTATTATACTTTTCCAATATTGATTGTGACCATTAGATATAAAACGTTTATAACGGCATCGCCAAAAAATTATGCAGCGCCTAATAAAGTCGTCAAAGTAGCTCATTAAATTGTCAAACACCCGCAGACTCGAACATAACTGCACCTATTCCAAACATTTTTTGCGGTAAGCTTGTCCAGACAAAATGAAAAAATAAACACTTCAATAAAACGCAAATATAATCTTCTAGTTACTCGAAAAAACAGCCTAAACTACAAACGAACATTCTTTGCACGATTTCAACGAAAAAGTACATAACACCGTTCGCTTCATTACCAGTATTTAATTTTCATTTAACGTTTAATATTATATAATATTAATGACCCGGCATCACCAATTTTTGAAAAAGGCTCCATTGTATGTTCCACGGTTACCATTTTTGTCGTGAGGCACATTCTTGTGACTATATGGACACTGGAAAAGTAGAGATATAAAAATAAAGTTATTAATTTAGAATGCGGTACAATTTTATTCAGACTTAATTTTAATTAGAATAACTAAATAAAACAAACATGTCTGCAACCGTTTCCGCAACATTTTTCTTTTTTAAGATGGAAAAGAAATGTTAGCACCGTGTAACCACTTCGAGGATCAATATAAGAATCCTTGCTACCCTTTTTGGTCAAAAATTTAAATGTAAATTTTTAAAGATTACCTTTTCAACTAAATTTTCCAAGAAAACATTTCATGACCCGCCCATAAAATTGTAAACTCATCCTATCCCTGCCATTGTAAATTTTCAAAAAATTTAATTATTTCGTCTGATTTTCCAAGCAATTATACTTGAGCCATAGAATTAATTTTACTCGATCGTATCTCTCCCATTGTGTGCTCTACTGTAAGTAAGAGATGCATTGATGTCACGCATCCATTATAATTGGTGCTATGTAGAACTTCAGATGGTGATCGTTTGTATTGTAAAGATAGTGTAATGATGTAAGCATAAAGGCATCAAGATTTTCGATATCACTTCCTAGTGTGATTTAATGACTTGATCTGAACGTTGACCTACATTTTGAGTCATCATAATCAATAATGCATTTCAGCAAGATCGCAGCCAGAAATTTGCTTTTGGAGGAGGCTTTTATTTGTATAAAAATGCTTAAAAATTTTGGCGAATTTTTTTTGTAGATCACTCCATTTTGAAGAATTTACACATTAAAACCAGTGGCTTAATACAAAATATAACTTCATTTGTTGTGCGAGCCGAATTAGTTTTCAAAGTTTCCACTCGCCTACTCCTTCAATTTCTGCAGCTACAGATATATATTATGATTATTATCGAAACATTCTTGACGTCTCCGCATAAGTTATAATGAATGTGAGATCTAAATTCTAATCTCTCCTCTCGCATCCAATTCAGTTTATAACACGAACACAATAAAAAAAAATGGTAGGCAATACCAGTATTAGTACGGTATAGTTACTTACAGTACAGTTAAGTATAAAATTTATATTTTGATTTTAAAAAAACAAACGAAAAAAGTTTATAGTTATATAATAAATACGAAAGAATTGAATGGATTAAATTACATCGATTGCCTCTAGATGGGCCCGATGGATTATCAAATCACTGGAATCTAACTTTTCCAAAGTAACTGAGCGTTTCCAATGAAAAATTTTTTTCCTAACTTCTTCGTCAAAATCAGAAGAAACAGAGTTAATGGTTTCAACAGTCCCCATTCTTGAGTTTTCTGAACAAATGGTGCGCAAAGTATTGCTCATTACACAATAATATTTTATTAAACTTTTATTAATCATCAGCGCAAAGATTTCAATGTTAACGAAATCCACTTTTAAAAAAGACACAAGGTGTGTTCAATAAACCCTTTATTCACTAAAATTAATTTAAATATAAACGGATAACCATTTAAAATAGATAATTAGAAATATCAAATTTCATGCAATCAGACCAAACATTTATTTCCACATTCTACGACCTATAATCTGTTAAACGAGATGTACAACAAAATGAAATTGACAATGTATGTAGAAATACACACAACACAGATATCTTTTAATTTGAAAGCCAGCAGGTAAGCTAGGTAGACTGACATGATGCAGGAGGCAAAACTACAGAGAAATAAAAATACACTGGCAAAAGGACCTAATAAAGTTACTGCAATTTAAAAGAGTTATGTTAAGTTCAGCTAATGTTTATAATGCAATATATAAAAATATAATCAACTATTGTTATGTATAAGCTTAAATTCTAATTTTGAAAATGATTACTTGACCCACAAGATTATTTTAAAAAACGTATTCACTTACAGACAACTATCTGAGCAGCATAAAATATCATGCCAAGTTCACAGTTTGGCCTGTTGAGAATGCTGTCACAGCCTAAATATGTCCCAAAGATGCCAAAACCAACACTATATCTAAGCAATATGAATAAATTTAATAAAGAAATTAATATAATAATACAAAACGAAATTATTAAAAAATTTAAATATTCATATTCTGCCAATATTTATTTTATTATTTCTAACACTACTTGAAAGAGATAAAATAAAAGAACTTAAAAAACTTAATTAAATTATTATACTACTTGAATAATAAAACACTTCAAATAAATAAAAATATATAATAATAATTATATAAAAAAATATATATATTCAAATTCAACTGATACCCAAATTTCAAATAATTAAAAAAAAGATATAAAAATCAAATAAGGAAGAAAAAAGTAAAGACTGATTTAAAAGTCAAATTAGTAGATTGAGTGAACTGTAAGCAGCTTTAAACGAAAATGCTACGACATAAAAAACACCGAAAGCACCCACTCCGATGTCAGGACCCTGGAGCACTGCATGTTGGCACCTAAATCGCAGAAGGCTATATAATCCTTGTCGCATTTTTTGTTTCTTTCTACGTGCCAAGCATAAACTGATAATGCTATTCCAACCAGACAAACGATAGTATAAATGTCAAATAAATATTCCATTTTTTGAAAAACTAACTAAAACAGACGAAGCTTAAAAATAAAAAGTTTATTTTAGTTTACTTTTTTTTTAGATAGAACTTTAACTAATTGTTTAGCGCCATATCCATAAAATAACACAAAACGGCCCGGGAGCGTTATAAGATGTAGGATCACCGAATTCTACTAAAATGATCTGGCAATTGAACTGTATATTTATACTTTAAACAATCACCCACTGGATGGATGCTTGACGTCATTGCTTCTTTTGCTTCCAGTAGAGTGTACAATGGGAAAGGTACGTCCAGTTGGGCAATTAAATGCCTTGATGAATTCGATATTGAAAAAGTGAAACAAGTTTTGATTGAGATTTATAACATCGGCATCCAACCACATGAAAAAAAAAATCCGATTAAGCCAACATAACCAATCAATAAATAAATCAATCCATCCATCTATCCATCCATCCATCCATTTACAGACAATTTTGAGATTTTAATAAGGAAAGAAAACACAACAGTTGCTTTTATTTGATAAGAAAAAATAAAAAATGACGAAAAATTAAAATTTTAAGAACGTCAATATTTTAAAAAGTTCGTATTTCATACAAATATAACAAAATGTCGTTTTCGGAAAATGATTCACGTAACATGAACATTAAGTAAAAACAGCATATCATAATGACATACTCAACATACCAAACAGAAATTGTCTATACATGTATGTATACAATGTAAATTAAAAAATATCCAAAAATTATGTAACCAAAATAGAAAACTAGAAATCAGTCAACATTTTACAAATGAATAAATAAATAGACATTAAAAAGAATGTTCAATAAGGTAAAATTAAGGCGACGACGAAAAAAAAAATTTGTTTTCTTGGCGTGGTGGTGTGAAGCAAAAACAAACACATCACTAAAAACAGTAAAAAGTCGCAAGAATAGAAGTCAGTCACCTACCTACAATTAAATTACTCTCAGGGCCCTAGCTTACCTATAATGATTAACTCATCTCCTACCTACAATTTTGTATTTCTAAGTTTTAGGAATTTTACAAATTTCAGGCATTTTTTTACATATATTAAAGTTTTTATTTTAATTGAAACTTTTTAACTAATGTTAAGCCCTAGTCTACCTGCAATTGTCTAACTCATCTAAATTCTTAACTTACCTACGAATTAAATTAAAGTCCAGTAAAGAAAGACAAAAGTTGAAGAGAAACATAACAACGAAACCGAATGAATGGATGTTGTGTATGTGTGTGTTGATGTATGTGCGTAAATGTGCGCGTTTATAAAATGAAAATAATGGCAAATAATATTTTAAAATAATAAAAAGAGTAAAATGTAAAAAAAAATTTTCTTGTCAATTCGACAAATGCAGAATGTTGAATGCCTGAGTGAATGAATGAATTAAGTAGGTAAGTAATCAATCAATGATTCAATGATTAAAAAAATAAATTAATGGAAAAATAATTTGAAAGATTTAGTGATACAATGAATGAATGAATGATAAAAATTAAAAGACGAAACTAAACCTTACTTCAAAAATCATCGTTACTGTACTCCATTGCACCAACCACCATCATCTGATCGGCTCACAAGATTTCATTTGAACTTCAGAGTGTCAGCCGAACAGATTCTTCCTACACCACCATCATTATGTGTAAATCATCATGAGACCACCATCTGAAACGTGCTGACTCCCACCACTGCCCACCTCTCATCATTCTGTGGATAATAATAATTAGCGAAGTAGTAAATGAATGTTAGAATCTTAGAAGCAAAAAGTTATAAAATGAAAATAATGGTAAAATAATATTTTAAAATAATAGAGTAAAATGTAAAAAAAACTTACCGTCGTCCATTCGACAAAGGCAGAATGTTGAATACCTTCCTGTTCCTACGTTGTCCTCAGAAACTGGTGCAAGTCTTCCGAGATTGTTGTTGAAACACAGCCCTTATTGAAGATGAAAGATAGAGTAGATTCTCATCATAAAGCTTAGCGGTGCCAGCATCTCAAATTGCTTAATAAAAATAATCCTATCAACCTATTCAATTACCTTATCTATATTAAATTGTTAATGGTACGATAGTCGAAAGTTCCCCTTCATTCTCCCTCCTTGCACAGAGGTTCACCGAAAACCAGGGCACCGGATAGTAAACCATTGCCAGCACACCACTGGCCACCAAGGCTTACCTCTGACAACGGACTTTGAAATTCAGAGTCCATCGGTTATCGTACCCTCAACTTATCTATTCATTACGATTAAGCCCTAGCTTACCTAAAATTACAAAACTCAAGAGCCCAATCCATTGGCCTTTCGGCACCCACCCCACCACCTAATGCCTTGGGCTCCAACCTAATATATATATATATATATTATTCTAATGAAATATAATTATTATTCCAGTTGATTCTAATGAAAAAATAAACCTTCTTATTTATTATAAAAATTTTATGTCGCAACAACTACTAATAAAAAATAGTCCCAACGTTAAACTAGCAACAACACAGCACTCCCACGTCATCTACCAATTTCTATGTCCTCACGAAGACTGTAGGCTTCGTCCATCTTCTTATATTGGAATGACTACCACAAAACTGACACGCCGTTTAACCTGCCATTTGAACATCGGAGCTCCAAATCAACACTACCATGACTGCCACAACCAGCAATTATCCCGCAAAATATTAGAAGATAATACTAAAATATTAATGAAAGACACTAATTTTAACAGACTACAAATTTTAGAATCCCTATTTATTAATATTTATAAACCTAATTTGAACAAACAAATTTATTCCAATTTTATTTTACCTTCATCACGAAATGTTTAATTTATTATTATTATTATTAACATAATATTGCACATATAATATATTTTATTATGTTATATTACAAAATAATTGTTTATTATACTTAATTTAACTACTTACGTTATTTAACTTTAATCGTTACGTTACTTTCGCGCTCAACTCTTATTACGTCATCTGACAGTTTATTGTTATGTTTTATTTGAATTAATATTAAATTGCCTGAAGATGAATTATAAAATTCGAAACGTCGCTTAATAAATAATTATATAATGAATATTGGAGTTCTTATTTTTAATTTAAATTATAATTATAAAAAACTAATAAGAAAAATAGAAAATCTTAATAAAAAATTAAATAACAATGATATAAGCATCGCGTTTAATGAAATATGCTTAAATGAAAATTTGTTACCGAAATTTACTGATATATATATATATATATATATATATATATATATATATATAGAACATTTAATATAGAAAGAGAGAGCGAGAGAGAACGCGAGAAAGAGAATGAGAGAATGAGAGAGAGAAAGAGAGAGAAAATCAACATCACACGTAAAACATATAAAACATATGCAGTGTTATATATTAAATAATAATTTTAACTTCAAACATTTTTGAAGGTTTTGTGACATATTCTAAGTATATTGTTTTTATCTGGTTTATTCTACAAAAATTTTCCGTACTGGTTTTTTGTTTCGGATTGCTCTGGGGTTTTTAGTAGTACACTGTAAAGTCTCATATTTGCTTTACGAAACCAGCTAAGTTTCATTATCAAATTTTATCTTTAGGTGACATTTTGCTTAGTTCTATTGATCATAAATTTTAAAATGTCATTTTTTGTAAATTATTAAACTTTTTCCTTAACTTTCGCTGTTTTTACTTGCTCAATAAGACACGTGGGTGGCTTGCCAAGCCAAGCAAAAAAAACTGAATAGCCAGTTTGTGAGTTTGGCCCGCCCGTTAAGTAATGTCCCTAGAAGTACGGAACATCCGTTGCCGTTGCGATCCGTTTTTATTTATTAATTTAATTGTTAGAAAATGATCAAAATATATTCGGTTGTGCGGAACTATTAGATGACTTAGTTAGCTTAAGAAGCTGAAATTTGGCTTGGTGATGGAATGATACAACAAATGATACAATTGGCGCGTGAACAATTGACATGGGACCGCTGGTATTTGGCACTTGGACTTGTCATCGGATTGATTTTTGTTCATTCTTTCATTCATATTTATATTTTTTGATTTATAAATGCATTGAATAAATTAGACTATTTCTATTAAAGGAATGGATGGTATCATTGAAGCTGAACAGCTTAGCAAAAAGTAGTTGAATTTAACTTTTTGGCAAAATATTTTTTTTTCAAAGTATTTTTCATTAATTTCTTTAAAAATTGTTTCTTAATTGGTTATCAATTATTCATGTTTAGGAAATGATAAGCACCAAGCTTTTTAGAACCTCATTTTGCTACTTTTATGCTCTGAGAGTGGCCCACATGTCCACACTTACTAAAGCCCCATCAAATAATAACCACATTAACTTAGGTCTTTTATCCAAAACTTTTCTCTATACATCTGCTACTGCTCATCATAAAATTAGGTTGGTTAGCTGAATTTTTATCATAAAATTCAGATTAACCTTCTTTTATAAATAATGAAGTATTGAATAATGGTTAAAAATTCATTTAAAGTGGTATGCAAATTGGCAAAAATTTTTTTAAAACTATTTTTAAAAGGTTTCTTATTGTTTACATAATTTTTGTATTATTTCATTCAGTGAACAAAAACGACGCCAAAAAGCTGAGAAGAAGTTAAAAGTGAAGCAAGAAAAACAAGCTAAGCAGGACGAGTTGGCTAAGGAAAATACAACAATTAAAAGTGAATCTACGAAAGAAGGATTTGCTGGGGATGATGCAGATATTGATCCTAATGTAAGTTATACTTTGTTGTTGTGTACACACTTATATTCTCTTAAGAAGGACTTCCCATATGTTCTCAAATAATTTAATTAAATAATTTTTATTTAAAACCAATAACTTTTCAGGAATATTTGAAACTGCGTTTGGCTCATGTGTCATCATTAAAAGCAGCTGGTCAGTCCCCATACCCTCATAAGTTTCATGTGGATATCTCTCTAACTGAATTCATAGAAAAGTACAGTTCTCTGAATGATGGGGAGCACCATGCCGATGTTGTTAGTGTAGCTGGTTAGTCAATTTCTGCTGCTGACATTTTTGTCCTGGTTTCTTAGTGTTTTTTTGTGTTTTTTTTTGTGTTTTTATGTTGTAATGATAATAATGATGATGGTGTTCATGACGATGTTGATGGTGATGATGATAATGGCAGGCAGAGTACATGCCAAAAGAGAATCTGGAGCCAAATTGATCTTTTATGACTTGAGAGGGGAGGGTGTGAAGATACAAGTCATGGCTAATGCAAAGTAGGTGATATGCTAATGTTGCAATATTACAATGAGGCTGATGTTGGCTGAGATGATCATAATGTGTTGATGCTAATGCTCTCTATAATAATGATTCTTAGGCTATATGTTCCTGAAAGTGACTTTGAAAAAGTTTCAGACAAAATTAAGAGAGGTGATATCATTGGTTGCAAGGGCCATCCAGGTTAATTTGTGGCTGGGGCTTCTTTTTGTTTAGTCTCATTGGTTGTTTATTAAGTGGTCATTTGATTCATTATTTTTATTGTAATTCTTCTCCATGTCAAGATTATGTTTAAATTCAATTTCATCCTGTTAATAAATCATAAATTAGTTAATGAATCAATTTTTGAAAGAGAAACTGAATGAAGAATGAATAAAAATATAAATGAGTGAATAAATAAATGAGGTCAACACAAATGAGTGAATATCGTAAAATTGATGAATGAATGAACAACCTTAAGGAAAAACGAAGAAAGGAGAGTTGAGCATCATACCTGAGCAGATGGAACTGCTGTCTCCATGCCTTCATCAACTACCCATGTTACATTATGGCTTGAAAGACAAAGTTACTGTCCTTATCTTTTCTGTTTTGTAATTTATTATTATTACCTCTGTTGTTGTTGACATGGGTCTTTTATCAAAGAGATTTTTCTCCTCATAGTTAAAATCCATACTTTGCAGAAAATTTTTTCTAGTATGAATATGCACCAATGAGGGTCATTCAACATAAATGTCCTCCAATCAATGTTTCAATAGAGAGTGCAATGTTAGCTACTCTGCTGAATTTTTATGCCAACAAACATGGGAGCTCTTTGCAAATATTCTATTGAAAAATACTGAATCTCTCTGTGATTATTAAAAATTAATGATGGTGAAATTCCTCGATGAATTGATTGTCTGTTAGCTCAATTAAGATGCACAACATTCTTCCTAATTAGTGCTTCTTCAAATCAAACTGAGATCCAAGCATTTGAAAAATTGCTGTATCCTATCTTAATCATTTAAATAAATTTAACAGTAAATTTATGCATTAAATAAATAAATAAGTAAATAAATGCAAATTTATTAAATTGCAGTCAAACTGCTATCCAATCACAAAACGTAATAGTAATTCTTAAGATAATAATTTAATAATTTATTATCTGACTGACAAATTGGTGGATCAGGAGACACGATTTAGACAAAGGTACTTGGATCTGATCATCAATGAGAGTGTGAGGAATAAGTTCATTACAAGGTCACGCATTGTTTCGTACATTAGGAAATTTTTTGATGACCAGGGTTTCTTGGAGGTCAGTGATTTCATTTATATATATTAAAACTTTGTTAAAAGCAATTCACAATTTTTATTTGCGATAAGAATTAGAAGTGATTGAAAGTATCAGAAGTAATAAGAACCTGATCAACTATGCTCACACTAATTTTTCATCAAGATACTTAATTCTTTCTTTAACCTCGCATAGGTGGAAACTCCGATGATGAACTTGATACCGGGTGGAGCTGCAGCCAAGCCCTTCATAACTCACCACAATGAACTCAACATGGATCTCTACATGCGGATTGCTCCTGAACTTTATCTCAAGGCAATTAGAGATGGCAATAATATTGTTCTGTTGTTTTTCAATTAACTTTATTCTTTCTTTCTCATTATCTCTCTCTCTCTCTCTCTCTTTCTCTCTCTCTTTCTTTCCCTCCTCTTTCTCTCTTTCAACTCATGCTAGCATTTCTGTGAAGATTTTTTTCAAATTTTTAAATATAGCCAAACTTCTGTACGGCGAACTAGAAGGTTCCAGGAAATAAATTCACTTTATGTGAATTTCGTTATGCAGAATGTGTTTGGGAAAAAATTCTGTATCCCCTAAAAAGTGTTTATGTTATATATTTATAAAAACAACCTCGCAATCATTTGTTTTTATAACAAAAAGCAATAATAAGTAATATAATTGCAAAAAATATGAAGAATAACAGTATTATGTGTATGTACACGCACTATATGTATACAGCAAAAAACATGATACGTAAAACAGTAATTTACAGCTTACTATGTTTAACAATTACTTAAAAAAAGTTGTCTTATGTCACTTTCGATTTAATTTTATTGATAATTTTTCAAAAAAATGCTCACACTTTTTAGAGAATTTAATACGTATTTCATTGTGTACATTTTCTGGCTGGATATTTTCAATTTCTAATGAATTTTGTTTGTTATAGAGAAATTATTTTCATTTTATAGAAGCAGTTTGATATGTAATTCCAAGGGATATAAAAAAGTTTGTTATATAGAGATTTCTGTAGTATGAATGTTCGTTATAAGTTCATACAACTGTATGTTGCATCAAACAACAATGTATTAATAATATTTGAAATGACATCAGATGTTAGTTGTTGGTGGGATAGACAGAGTGTATGAAGTCGGTCGGCAATTTCGTAATGAGGGTATTGACCTGACACACAATCCTGAATTCACGACCTGCGAGTTCTATATGGCATATGCTGATTACAACGACCTCATGACCCTTACTGAGTCTCTACTGTCAGGTTGTTTCTGTTGCATTTGTTTTTAGTTTATTGTGCTGCTCTGCTGTTGAGTTGGGTGAAGCTGTTTAATAATTTAGATCTGAGCCATTATGCTTAATTTACTTGGGTTGGTTGACTGGTTGTGTATGCTTTGTAGCACATATATATTCAACTGTGGCTGACTATTAAAGTTTTATATTTATTGTAATATTTTACAATATTTTATATTCAACCATGTCATGTTTAATCATAATGATGTCATTTGGTGGTTTAACATTTTGCTCGTTTAATTGAATCTCACGGATTATTTTGATAGTTTCAAAATATTCTCTCTAAACTATCTAGGTATGGTCCGCAGCATTTTAGGCACATACAAATTAGTGTTCCACCCAGATGGGCCCGATGGAGAAGAACTTGTGGCTGACTTCACACCTCCATTCAAGAAGATCGACATGCTCACTGAATTAGAAAGAGAGCTTGGTGTGAAGTTACCATCTCCTGAACTATTAGCAACTAAAGGTTGCGGATGATGATATGTTTTAGTGTTATCATTATGATCATTATGAGGAGGATTGTAATGAGAGTAGTGATGATAAGGAGAAGGAAAGGGATGATGATGGGATGAGAAGGATGATGATTAAAATAGTGATGATCATCATAAAACAGAGGCGAATGACTTTCTGGACAAGATTGCTTTGGAGAGGGGCGTCGATTGCCCAGCACCAAGGACAACTACGAGACTTCTTGATAAGGTGAAAATGAACTCAATTATGATAAATTTTTTGGTCCATGGTACTGGCATTTATGTGCATAATTTATTAATTGGTATCATTAATGATGAAAATCTACATTATGAATATGACATAGCTTGTTGGTGAATTTCTGGAATCAAAATGCATCAATCCAACTTTCATCCTGAACCACCCTCAAATTATGAGCCCACTTGCTAAATGGTAAGTTTCGTTTTTTTGTTTGTTTTTGTTATTTATCGAAATTCGAATTATTTGTAAGATTTTAATAAATTGTAAATGAAATATTTTAAACTATAAACTGTGGTGTTGAAAATGATAACATCTCACTAATAAGAAATTATTAATAGTACATTATACTAATAAGTATAAATCGTAAAATCTCATAATTGACAATGATGAGATTTAAGTATCTGTAAACAAGGTGGACCACATTAACACCAACAACGGTGCACATGCAGGCACAGAAACATAGCAGGACTGACAGAACGTTTTGAATTGTTCGTCTGTCGTAAGGAGATATGCAATGCCTATACAGAACTGAATGATCCAGTCGTCCAGAGGGAGAGATTTGAACAACAGGCCAAAGTTATTAGATTTTGGTTGTTTGCAGATCTTATCGCTCCATGGGACATATTAATTATTTGTTATATTAATATACTTTATTAAACATCGTATATCTTACAGTTTATTTTGTTAACTTTTGATGTTATAACACTAGCGATCATATTTAATTAATTTAATTTTTTTTAGGATAAAGCAGCAGGTGATGATGAAGCAATGTTTGTTGATGAAACATTTTGTACATCCCTGGAGTATGGATTACCCCCAACTGGAGGCTGGGGATTAGGGGTGGATAGGTTGGCTATGTTCCTGACTGATTCCTGTAATATAAAGGTGCCATTTGGTTTATTATATCATCAGTCATCCTTCTTATCATAATTTTCCATGTTCATGGTCTTTGATGTCATGCATTCCATTTATGTGTTTGTAGATCTACTGACAGAGGTAGATCTAGCCCCCGTTATGCGCGCTATTAGTGTTAAAAGCTAGTGGAAGTCCTTGTTTAAAACATAAAAAGTAGTGTTTTGAAAAAAAATGGATATTACAGGCCCCAAAAAAGACCACATTATCGAAAAAAGTTGGCCTTCTACGTCAAAAAGTAGCCCCTCAGTAGACAAAAAAAAAATTTTGTACCTATTTTGCAGAAATTTTCAATGTTAATGTGATGGTTACTAATGTTTGTCATTACAGTGCTTGTTGAATTGAGGTTAAGTAATAGGTACCTCGCGTCATTCGGGGAATCTAATCTATTTCTAAGCATGGTTTTATTTGAAAGAAGTATAGAAAAACATTTATTACGTAAGTAGATAGGGAAACAAAATCAATTGATCACGTTGATCGTTCGAATATAAATTTAATTGATTTATTTGAACACTTAAATTAATCCATATACAAATGCATCCATGCAATCAGGAAGTGCTGTTCTTTCCAGCTATGAAACCTGATGCACAGAAGAAAAAAGAAGAGGATACCGCAACAACTAACATTACAGTTAACAATACAGCCACTACTAATACATCTCTTGCAGGTACTGTAAAATGTAACAACTAATTTGAAGATGTTCTGTATTATCAGAAACTTGAGTACTGTGTTGTTGAGAACATTAATGATCACACGTCTGTTATATAAAGGTGGTAGATTATTTGGACTTAAATCTAACGAAATTACGAACATCTTATTGGAACATCATCGTTGTTTATTTTGATTTTCTTTCAAGATCAATTGCATTTGTATTATTTATTAATGCTATTGTTTGAATAGTCTATATTTTGCGGCAAAATTATAGCAAATGAACTTTTTGAAAATAAACACACCCATACTTTGGAAAAAGTAAATTAATACGAATACGATACAAAAATTTAATTGAATAATGATTGTAGACCATTAAAGTAATAAATCTAATGACTCTAACTGAATGAAAAATAACTTAACTAAAATATAACGAAAATAATACTGTGTTGATTGTTGTGTTTGATTGCTGTTGTTGGTGTTGTGTTGAACAAAAAACAATACAATACAAATAAACTAGAGCGTAAGAAAGTAAGAATAGAGTCCCTAACTTACCTACGTTCACTAAATTAACTCACCTGCCTATGTTCAATTAGCTCAACTTACGAATTAATCCTACCTATTTGTACAATTACGAAGAAAATAGTAAGAAAAAGAGGATAATACATCAAGCAAACAAAACAACGAATATATGTATGTGTGTGTATGTGTGGGTGTATGTGTGGGTGTGTGTGTGTATGTATGACCGCGCAATAATAATAACAATAAAATAAACGAACAAATCTAGAAATAATAATTAACGAATAAAATAAACGAATAAATTTAGTAATAATAAGTAACGAATGGTCTAGTAATAATAAACAACTTAACTAAAATATAACGAAAATAATACTGTGTTGATTGTTGTGTTTGATTGCTGTTGTTGGTGTAGTGTTGAACAAAAAACAAAAATAAACTAGAGCGTAAGAAAGAAAGAATAGAGTCCCTAACTTACCTATGTTCACTAAATTAACTTACCTACCTATGTTCAATTAGCTCAACTTACGAATTAATCCTACCTATTTGTACAATTACGAAGAAAATAGTAAGAAAAAGAGAATAAAACACCAAGCAAACAAAACAACGAATATATGTATGTATGTGTGTCTGTATGTATGTGTGTATGTATGACAGCGCAATAATAACAATAAAATAAACAAACAAATCTAGAAATAATAAGTAACGAATAAAATAAACGAATAAATCTAGAAATAATATTTAACGAATAAAATAAACGAATAAAATAAATGAATAAATCTTTAAATAACAAGCAACGAATAAAATAAACGAATAAATCTAGTAATAATAAGTAACGAATGGTCTAGTAACAATTAACATTTTAACTAAAAATAAAATAAAGAAATAAGAAAAGGGACCAGGCGCTAAGGGAATGCCCTAAAGCGCCCGGTCGGATTTCAACGCATTTTCGGCTCCTATTTATACCAGTTCCATTCATATATTCTTATCATTTCAATCATTGGCATCAATAAAAAATGTTATTTAATGTATAGGAAACATTATTATATTTGTTTAATAACAATATATTAACTTTACTAAAATGAATTCAACGACCGCCTACTGACTTTCTGATGGGAAGGTTCGAGTATGTGTACAGTACACGTTATCTACTTGAATTCAAATTTAATCGAGATCAATCCTTTTTCACACAACAATTGAAAAATGAAAATATGTATTTCTTTTACTTAATTTCTTTTTTTATATTATACTTACAATCAATTCAATCATTCACATCTGTAAAAAGTTTATTGATTTAATGTTATTGATTTTTGATTTTATGTAATTCACTAATATACATTCTTGACAACAGAGCTACTCAAACTTCGAAACATTCTGATTGATTGACTGGTTGGAACTGCTGTAATTCTTTTTATGCAGACATATAATCTTAGTAATTATTTGTATACATGAATTCTAAATTCTTTATATATATTTATTACATAACTTCTTTATAAAACCAACAGAAATCTGTTACATGTGTATGTACGCGCGCGGTTCAAATCAAATTATTTCGAGAGAATTCAAAATAATATTACTCCACACACCTTACTTCACTTTAATTGTAAAATTTAAATGTATAAATATATATATATATATTTAGCTAGTATATATATATATATATATATATATATATATAATAACTACACATATCTATCTATTTATAGGAATCGAATACAATGTTTATTCTGGCTAATTCACTAACATACTGTGAAACTACTTTTAAAATGACGTCATTTCTCCAAACGGTTTCGTTCCGAATTACCAATCCCGTTTCAATGATACTTATCTTTCAATAAATCTTAAAAACAAAGTGATTTAATAAAATTAAAAAAACTTCCTTCCATATGTTGGTTGATCGTACGATCATCATGTACGTGCTTATGTAGCTTATCTATGTGTGTATGTGCGCGTGCGTGTGCGTGCAAGTATAAGTAATGTAAGTAGGTGTAATTATACGAACTCGTTGAATAAGTATTATTACTGCATGGCTACTGACCTTTTTGTCTATTGCTATTATTAATTTCGTTACTATATCAGCGTCACATTAAAAAATTGTGCTATACTGTGTATTTGGTGATACACAGGTAATGATAACAATTTAGTCGAATCATGATACTATATACCGAAAACATCAAGATTTCGAGCGGTCCGGCCAATATTAGTGCCGACCGTTTTCTGTAGGCCTTCTCGTAGAGGGTTCGATCGCGAGCCGAGCTGAGCAAATGCAATTATAGCTTGAAAGTCACTCGAATTCAAGTTGAAATTTGTCGAAATTAATTGAAACGAGTCAAAATGTGAATTATTTTGGAAGGTTCATTATTAGACTGTTGATTGAACGACAGCATTGACGATGTGAGAACAATTTTAACTGCGTGAAAGACATTGAAAACGTTCTATTGTTAGGTAATCAGCATATTCGATAAACATCAAATTTTTTTCCAAATATTATGTCCAAATTTAAATAACTATTAAAACAAATGAATGAATAAATCAACAAACAAACGAACGAACTGAGAAACAAACAAATAATGTCACCAAAAAATTAACAAATACACACAAACACACACACATATACAAACAAAATTTTTTCTTAAATGGTAGAGTAAGAAAGGAGCGGTTTCAAGTACACCAGCTTGGACACGCACACACACACACACACACACACGCACACGCACGTACACACACAGAGCATACCGACCAAACAGTCAACCAAACTACCAACGAAACAACCGAA